AACAAACACAAAAGATCGGTATGAATATTTCGTCTGACTAGTCTAAGAGATGGGGCTGGATTGGTACATAACTCATCCATTCTCCAAATGATGGCAKATCTYKTATTCTTTGTACCATCTTTTCCCTTCTTATCTCCATTGCATCACGGCTCTAGAGCATAAACTATCATCACTTATTTCTTATCATATCGCTTGCTTAAAATCTTCGACCATTGAGACGTGTCCATGTTCGCACACCAAGCACATGCACCGAAGGTATATGAAAGAGAATGGGTCTCTGTCTCCATCTGGATCATGTGTGACTCAAGTTCATAAGCCCCGGCTGAAGACGTCATGGTTTCTCTTGCACGGCAGACAACATCCCGCAGCTAGTCTGTGTATGGATGCAACATCTTTATCTCGGTTTTCAGTCACTTCCTTCAACCTATGTGTATGTATGAAAACGTGAATTGTGCGATGGTTCTGCTGGGGTGCTGCGAACGAAGACAGGCACAAGTGTGTAGCAGGAAAATGCGGGGCATTGCGGAGCTTATGGCAGGTTGCTGTAATAAGAACCCCTGTACCGGGACGTCGAAAGCAGCACTCAAAGCTCTGTACATAAACATACTTGGAGTATACGTACCTCGGTTACTAAAGCAGAATCAACGGCGTCACACCTCGAGCAGTTCGAAACTAGCATACCTATAAAGGTTCAATTCCGGCCCCTAGACTTGGAATAGCGAAGCTCATACAAAAATGGTCAAGGGTATCCTGGCCATTTGTGGAACGTAAAGATACCGTTCTGCTTAAGGAAGGCATGCAGGGAGTCGGCGAGAGATGAGGGCATTAATGCACTACATGTAGCGCCATTCGTTGGGTTTAAAACTATCGTACAGTTCCTGCTAGACCAAAGTACACAAATCGATATACAAGACGACGATAGCGATACGTCATTACGACTTGAACCAGTCACAGGGTGATCGTAGAGCGGCTGATTGAGAAGGTGTAGGCGTGAATGGACGAGGTCAGTCCGGACGTGTTTTTTTAGTATGCACTACAAAAGTAATAGGATTTTTTTGCGAGACTCTTGCTAAATAAAGCGCAGACATAAGTGTACAAGATCAGGATGCCGTGATGTCTTGACGACAAAAAAAATGGGAATCGTCATTTAGCGTGATGCTTGTGAAGCTGAGCATCATTCGATGGACCAATTCATGACGTCATCCACGTATCTCGCCCGTGACATGAAATTGCAAGGCCTAACTTTTCGGAAAATCGCAGTGCCCGAACCTCGGAAGAAATAATCCCCGGTCATCCACCATCTCTCCACCTGTTGCAGCACGACCGAAACTCTCAAGCGAGAGTGATGGAAAACTACTGGAAAGTTGTCGCACACCGACATAGGGCCTGGAGCAACATTCAAGAAAACAAACATCCAAAGTGGAAGGGAAAAAAAAAAAGATGAGTTCAACCGTATAATAGGAAGGAATAAGAATAGCTCCTCACACATTCGCAGTTCAAATAAGCCCTTGTTGATCCCCTTGCTTCGGGTAGGCAGATGGAGCTCGCTTCGGGCGGTGGGTCCAAACGTGGGACATCGAACATGGCCGACCCAAGAATGCCCGTCACCCAGCTTCGGACGTTAGCGTGAGCCTGGCGTTGAACCAAGACAACGGCAGCTAACGCCAACGAAACTTGCTCATCAATCCGCTTCATTCAGGCCGAGAGCACCTCAGCCTCCGGCCATAGATTAGGGGCTGGAAAGTACCCGACTGGAGCGTATCTCATCCATGACAGTACCACAAATGACATGATAACGCTGTGGCAATACAAAAATTAAATGATCACATAAGACTTCAACTCTGGCGGCACAGCTGTGTCATCTCTTCGAGCAAAGCTTGAAGAAGACGGCAACTGAAGTTAATTCAATATAAGCGAAACATCCGACAAACGCCCCGAGTACTGCCGGCCGACTAAAACGGACCGCCTCTTCTCCCCCATCTACGATCACATCTCCCCAGATAGCTGCAATGAATGCGACCCTTCGAAGCTAGCACAACGAGGTAAACAGAATACGAGCAACCCAACAATTCATTACGGTACAATCGCCTCAAGCAATCAAGTCATGAGGAACAGTACTCAGAGACATTGTCACTCGACAGCTGGATGCCATCTGTTTCGAGACGGAGGCTGCTGGCCTGATGTATATTCTCCCTTGCCTGCCGATCTGGGAGATTTGCGACTACTTCGATTTCACACTTTAGCACTACCGGCAGGCTCTGGCCGCGGACAAGGAGCCAAGTACCATTCACGATGGGTCAAATAAACAGGGTATGACCCATTGTGAGCAAGCTAGCCCAAAGAAATCGTTCATGCGCGAGCATTGGCTAATGTTCAGGCTGAAGAACAAAACAGGGCCTTTATTTCTATCTCAACATTCAATTATCTACCCATCGTACCGAAAAGGAAAAAAAGTTGAGTCGAGCTACTGTAGACGACCGGGATCAGTCTCTGAGTTTGGTCGAGTACCGGACTTGGATCGTGCCCACAGAACGGTGTGGAAGGGCGCGCTGGATGTCGTCCCAAGGTTTGCCATCTTGTCTCATCCTGCGTACAGTTTTGTCCTCTTCTGACGTCCATCTTCTGCCAGATGATTTTGTAGGCGAGTGCAGAGTCTTGAGCAGCCTCCTGCGGTTCTTGAGATGCAATATGGGTTTGCCAGCATTCGGCTGACATGAATCGTGGTCCCATTCAAACTGTAATTGAAATGTCGTCTTGTCACCCTCAGTGATGCGCTTGAGCAAGACATCTTTGAGAGACCATTCCTCGAACTGAGCAAGAAACATGCTAGCTTCGGACGGGGCTGGCGTTGCCTCTGGTGTTCGGATATCGCTAGGTAACTGCGCGGTATGTGTTGCCGATTGTCTTTTGCGAGAGCTTCGAAAACTGGCGGCTGTGTTGCGGACCGAACAGGAAGTGGATTTCGAGATCTTGCGGCGCTTGCGACCCTGGTGAACATCATCTAAATCATCGTCTTCCGAGCCGGAATTTTCAACATCTAGAAGAGAAGAAGAGTTCCCTTCACTATGTTGAGATCCTAGCCCGTCAAGACCGTTCTCGTTCCCTGAACCGTCACTGCCTGTGTCACCGTCCTTAGACAGCATGGCTTTGTGCAACGGCGAGGATTTGTGGCGGAAACGACGAAGTGACGGCGACGTGGAAGACACTTCGGCATCGGACCCGGACCCAGCCTCCGTAGCTTCGGACTCGACATGGGTGGACGCGCTGCTTGCATCAACCAAGGCTTGTCCTTGACACGGTTCAACAGAGGATTTTGCGGGAGATGGGGTGCGGACTTCAGGAATGGCATCGTCGCACGACTTGCCGGCGGGTATTTCGTTTTCCTGGAGTGATGCCTGGACCACCTCGATGGGGCTAGCAGCCCGGGGAGAGTGTGCGCCAGTTGAAGGGGAATCCCGATAGCCCTGGGAGCTATGACAAACGTCATGGTCAGAGACAGCATCGACCATCATGTTGCTCTGTTGACTGGCTGGTTCGGGTCGGAGCTGTTTCCCGTCTGCCGCAACTGGGTATGGTTGGCTTTCAGGGCTGGTAGGAGGTGTTGCAAAATTGATATTTTGACACTCAGTGGACGTGTCTCCGACCAGTAAGTGATTCATCCCACAAGATTGTTGGCTCAGTCCAGCATCAGCGAGGTGAGACTTATTTGGCTCATTCGGCCAAGCTGGGGCGGCATCCGCTTGAGGCGGGGATACTGCTGACGCAGTGTTCGCGCCAATGGTAGTTTCTGACTCAGTTGCGCCATATTCGGTGGCAGTCAGATCTACACGTCGGTTGTCAGAACCTTTCACCCAACAAGAGCCCCATAGCCCCGATGACTTACCCAGATAATCCGGGGTACTGGTACGTGTTGCATAAGATTGCGAACCATCGAGTTCTTGACTCGCATCGTCTTCATCTTCAGTATCAGACTCTACATCAGAGAGAATACAAATCGCTGTGTCCCTAGATTTTCCAAGAGCCGAATGCGCCTCTTTTTCATGCAAAGATGCCGTGCCTGGCTGGGAGGCAGGAGGAGTGAAGCTCTGCAACAGCTTCCGCTGCTCAGAGTCAATAATCAACGAGGTCATACTTGAGTCGCAGTGTGTAGGGAGGCAAAGAGTTAAGAAGCTTGATGTTCGCAGTATGGCCAAATTGAAGATGAAGATAGACGGGCATTGTCAGGCTTATATGCTCGCAGCTGAACCATGCGGACAAACTAATCCCAGCCCCTTCTAGGAGACGAGCTCGGTGCCGTCCTGGTGCCTCTCCTCGTTCTACAAGATCACTGTGGTTTGGATGGACGAGGAAGACACGTAACCGCTTCTCGCTCATGCCAATCACTTCACTGCCGGGCCACACTTCTCGTATATCACCAGGGATCCACGCCACTCGCTGGCAAGGCAGAGTTCTCAAGAGATACCAGATGAGGCAGGTCATGATGGGTGTTGGACTGTTCACGCACGACGCGTCACTTCCAGTTGGTCAGACAGCACCGGGTAGGAAGTTCCCCGGAGCACTAGCTCTTCCGTCTGACCGTGATGAAACTCGACGCTGCGCCCGCACATGTTGATCGTCACAGCCAGGAACCTTCTGAGCCATTCAGAGCGCTCGAGATGCCTTCATGAACGTCTCATGATCCCGCAACAGCGAGACTACGGAGGTCGCATGCGTGCAACACCAACAGCTCGCCGTAGTGCGCGCGTCCTTCTCTTCCTTCTCACCCAATCATCGCTTTCGACATGCTGACTTGCTCCATTTCTGAGGCGTCTGAGCCATCGCGATCCGTACGGAAACGGGTGAGCCGAAGACCAACAGGAAGTAATCAAGGAACTTCCGCCCAAGCGGCGGGTAGTCTTGGCAACCCCTGAACAGGGAATTGGTGACTCGGGCCCCGTCGAGCGACCCGTGATCAGACGCTTCACCCTCTCTATCCACTGAGGGGACCAATCAGGGAGCAAGTTTGTGCCAGAGGCCTCTGGAGCCATTCATATCAGGCTCAGGAGGCGAGTCCGAGATGGCACCGTCCTCCATCATGCAGCAGGGGCCATTGATAAGCCACTGCGGCATTTCTGCCATTGGATGGGCGTCGACTGGAGGCCTCACAAGGAAAAACATTGCCGTGAGATGCTCTGCTACAGCCTGAGAAGCATCACACCACTGTGAGGCGGCCCAACCTGGGGAACTGTCTCTAGACTGTTGGCGTCGTTAGATTCTGAGAAGAGGACGGGAAAGGAAGCCATACGAGACAAACAATAGAGTTAGTAATAATATCAGAGGGCAGAATGGAAAACGAATGCTAGAGCATGTCTCATTCCCTCCACAATCAGGCTTTGGGATGCAAGTGTCGCGAGAGAACTGCGTTCCAAATGAGAACGATGACGTGGCAGAATGGGCCAAGGGAGATGGGCTGAAGGCAGCGATGCTTGCAGAAAATGGAGACCAGCGGATTCAAATGGGCAGAGTATGGGAAGAAGCAGAGGTCAAAGATACATGTTGATAGGGTCGGAGGAGGTTCTTGTCTTATATACATGGAGTCACGTGATGCGCGGTCGTGCGGATGTGCGGCACGCGCGTCTTGCCTGTTTGAGCAGTGCCGCTAAACCGGAGGCAGCAGCAGCGTGTCCGCGATTACTATTATTAAACTTTTTATTATATTTACTAACCTCTTTATTTTTTTTATTATTAATATTAATATTTTAGCTACTATAAAACTTACTATTTTAACTATTAGGGAATATATCTTTTTAAAGCTCTTTATTAATATTATATAGTAAGCTTTACTGCTTATCTATAAACTAAATAGCCTAGTATTTAAGTGCCTCTTTATATTTAATATAATATAACCTTTAGTAAAAGCTTAAGTAATAATAACCTATTAAGCGATATTTAATTATTAATATTTTCTTTCCTTTTTTATTAAATAGTATATTACTTAAACTTATTACTATAATACTAATAAGCTATTATAGTATTTCTATTAGTATATTATTAAGTTACTAATAGTAGTAATTTACCTTATAATTAAAGCTTTACTTAAGTTAACTAAATAATACTTATTTATATATTACTTACTTATCTACTTATCTAGCCTAATTTCCTATTATTACCTTTCTTTATATCTATATAGCTATATTATAAATACTAAATAAGTTTTAAAAGCTAAAGTGCTATACCTAATATAATCTCTTTACCTATAATAAATTACAGTTAATATCTTCTTTTAAGTTACCTTTCTATAATTACTTAATATCTTCTTTTTTTAGTTAAGCCTAACTTATAGTAATAATCTTATTTATAATGCTTTAACCTTTAGTATTAGCTATATTAACTATATTGGCTAGGTTATTACTATTACTATTATCTTAAATGATCTAGTAGTGTATATAATTTCTTTCTTCTATCTATATCTATAGTTATACCTTAATTTACTATTCCTTTAATATACTATACCTTACCTCTTGCTAATAATAAATAATATTATTCTATATAATAGTAAGATATTGGTATATATAATAACTATATCTATTAAAAATAGTAAGATATTTAATTATTAGGCTATTATCTTTTAATACTATAATAAACTTTAGGTTAGCTAGTTCTAAAGTGCTAAAGTAATCCTTAATATCTTTAAGCACTTAACCCTTTAGCTAATAGATAAATTAAAAATATAACTTAATGCTAATACCAGGCTAAATAGCTATTTAATATAATTAGTAAATTAATACTTAATAATCCTAATTAATATATATAATATCCTCTATTATTAATTAATAGTTTTTTTCTTATAGTAATAATAAAAACTAAAAAGATAAATACTTATCTTATTATTCTTTATTAATTAAAGTTCCCTTTTTTCTATATTATATTAACTTTATATTAAAGCTAGCTAACCCTAGATATAAGGTTAGGGTTATTTTTAATTAATTAGCTACTTAACTTTAATTAAAGTAATATAAATTAAATTTATATACCCTATAAACCTATTTTAGTATATAATTTATATTAAATTGTTTATAAATAATTTTTAGGCCCTTTAGCTAATAGATAAATTAAAAGTATAACTTAATACTAATATTAGGCTAAATAGCTACTTAATATAACTAATAGATTAATACTTAATAATTCTAATTAATATATATAATATCCTCTATTACTAATTAATATTTTTTTTCTTATAGTAATAGTAAAAACTAAAAAGATAAGCACTTATCTTATTATTCTTTATTAATTAAAGTCCCCTTTTTTCTGTATTATATTAACCCTATACTAAAGCTAGCTAACCCTAGATATAGGGTTAAGGTTATTTTTAACTAATTAGCTACTTAGCTTTAACTAAAGCAATATAAATTAAATTTATATACCCTATAAACCCATTTTAGTATATAATTTATATTAAATCGTTTATAAATAATTCTTAGGCCTATTTTTATTTGCTATATCCTTAATATAATATATATAATAAATTAATTTAATCTATATAGCTATATAATATACCTATATATTATTTTCTATTTAGTTATTAAATAGTTACTTTAGCTTTTTATTTACTTCTTTTTATTATTATAACGGTTAGGTTTCTAAATAGGTAAACTAGTCTATACTAGGTTTATGTTTACAGGGTATGTAGGGCGTTATACTAAGTATATTAGTGAAGTATTATATCTCTTAATAGTCAATAGTGCAGGTAAGGCTTATTGAGGTAAAGAAGTATTATTAATAGCTGGTAAGCTAAGTTCTATCTAATGCTAAATGAATGTATATATATATTATGGTGATTATAGGGAAGCGACGTAATATAAGCTCGTCGTCGGTCCTGGAGCGACGCGGTCCTGGAGCGCTGTCGGTCCTGGCCTTATCGGTCCCTTATCTGGTTGGCCGTCTGGGTGGGCCTGAGGTGGAGTTTTTGTGGGGTATATGTGATGTAACCGCTGGGGTCGTAATAATTATACCTTAAATAATGCCTAGCTACTAACCTATATTAATATAGCTATAGTATAGGCTTGGTTTATTACTTATATTAAACTATTTTATATTAATTATAATATATATTTATATTTACTTATTAAATTAATTAATTATAATATAGCTTTTAAATTAAATTCTTTTAAATATATTACCTATTTAAGATATTTTAATTATATATTAATATTTATTTTTATATTAGCCACTTTAATCTTTTTTTTATTTTCTATTTTAAATTAATGCTATTACTATTTTATTACTTAATTTATTTAGTTAATAATAATTACCTTTTTAGGCATTATTTAGCTGGCTTATATATTAAACCTTATTTTAAACTAACTGCTATCTAGCCTATTATTAAATAACTATTAATACTAGACTTTAGTATACTATAGAACTTACTGTATCTTTATAGCTTATTTTTAGATATTTTTATCTCTTCTTTAAGGGTTTTTCTATTAATACTTTTTATAATAATAATTTTATATACCTTATTTTATATTAAATATATATAAATAACCTTCCTTTTTATATATAAGCTTTTAACTTAATAGATAGATAAATAATATAAGGTTAATAGTTAGTAATAATAGTAGCTATATTATTAAATTACTTTACTTTTAAATAATATTAAAGTTATATTAAATTATTACTATAATCTTATTTCTTTTTACTGGCTATATTAACTTATAATATTACTTTAAATATTACTATAGTTTTTTATTAATATATATATAATAGTATATTTTATAAATAATAAATAGATAATTAGGTAATTTTATAAATAGTTTTATATTAAATATAATTCTCTTATTAATATATTATAATAAAATACTAACTAATTAATATAGATATATTATATTTATAGCTATTAACCTATAAAGTATACTTACTTTTATAGTTATTATAGTTTAAACCTTAATTTTATTATTCTATTACTATAGGCTAATAACTATTATAGGCTAATAACTATAAAGTAATATATTATATTAATTACTATAGGGTATAAATAACCTATTATTATTAACTATTTTTTTAATTTTTCTGCTTTTATAGATTACTTTAGCTTAATTACTATTTCTTACTTATTATTTTACTTTTATATTTTTATCTAGAGATATAGAGATATATAGACTAACTTTAGTTAAAATAATATATTAATTGCTATTTACTTTTAATAATATTAAATATAATAATCTAGATTTTAACTTAATTATAATACTGTAATATTAAGCTTATATAACTTAAAGTTAAAGTAAGATATATATTAATAGTTATTAATTAATATATAACTTTAAAAGTTATTTTTTTTAACTTTTTATAATAGTAACCTATATCTATTAAAGGCAATAGATTTAGGTCCCTATTTTTATTAGTGCGGTTTTAATTTATATGTGTTTTCTATTAGATTTAGACCTATATCCGCCTTGCAGTTAGGATAGGATGAGTACGTTAGTTAGTGCTGCCAGGGTATAAAAAGGGCAGTCATACGTCGCAGGAAGAGAACGCCTGCAGGCGCTGTAGTAGATTTGTTAATGCCATTTTTGCACTATTGTCAGCTTTGTGTGCTTGCAGCATTTAAAACAGGAATCTGTGCTGTGCTCATGGGACGGCTTTATAGAACTTTACCGGTCGGAGCACTCCGATACACGTAGGGGAGGTCTGTGCTGATTCTAAAATAGATCTAAAGAGATTTTCAGTAACTAAAAGTCGCTCAAAGGGTTAGTTTAAAGGCTGAATTTATAATAACTCTAGCTTTTATATATAACTTAAGCTAAATAAATTCTCAAAATAAGTAAATTATAATTCTGTAATAAATAGCTAAGATCTCTTTTTTGGTTGTTAGATGTTAATAGTAAATCTTATGACCTTAATCCCTTAATGTACTCCTTGGCAATATCACCAAAACCCACCATGCAGATTGTGGCCCAGGCCGCTACACCGATTCGGGGTACAACACCTCTGAAAAAGCCCAATGGACCCGAGGTGGCCAAGATATGTTTGGCTGCAGACGTCATAGTTGGCTTTGATGTGATGCTCTGCTTAGAAACTAGTGACTGCATCTCCACACGAAGAACCTGTATCGTCATTAGTATCAAGCGTTGCTCAGCACCTTTGGTGTTAGTTGACTCACTTCAAAAGGCTGGTTCCAACAGCTCAGCGCTCCTCCTACAGTTGAAGCGGCAATCTTCTCCCAGAAGCTAAGCTTTGCGTCTGCAGGTTTTGATTGCAAGCTTCGTATTTGGTCTTCAGCAAATCTTGCGATACCAATTCGAGATGCCCATCCACTAATTTGTCGTAAAGCGACAGCATTGACACCTCGATTAACACCACGGATGCCTTCCTTGCGTAAGATGTCAAGAAAGATCTCCATTGTACCAGGGACGCGGACACCAGGTTGAACATTCTTTGGCCTTGTGACCTCCACGGTCTTCATGCAAGTTGTCATGCCTTGTGGACTGAATGTCAACGTGGTCCATCATATTTCACTTGCCTACCTCAATGCTAGATGGATTCACTTACCCATTGTCAGATAGGACTGAGCTGCACCGCCAGCGACGCCACCTAATGCACCGGCTATCGCCGGGGATGCTCCGAATACGGTCTTGGAATAGTACTCGACTTCGTTTGAGGCTAGGAAAAGAATGGATCCCTTTGTCGAACATTCGATCCAGGCCTTGAGAACGACTCGGTGTTAGCGAAGGGGAGAGAAATAGGCTGCTATCTTACATACCCAGGGAATGAGCCCTTGGTAGAACGCCCGAACCCCTCCACGAGCCCATGTCTTGCTGATAGCCGTACGTAGGTTATCTTTCCTGTTTGCCGCGACCTGGTTTCCGGCTTTGTGAGTATCATCCCTTTCTGTTGGGGCACACAGCCAGCTTACATGTGTTTTTACGACTTCCATTGGTTGACCCAAGGAAGTGACTAGGATAAGTCAGTCATGATATTTTCAAGATATCAGCCTAGGGCAGAGGCTACACTGACCTTGGAAAATGTTCATCGAGGCCCCAACCACCAGATTACTCCATGAAATTGGCTTACGGGTCGATTGGGTTTGATTCAAGGTGAGTGGTACGATTGCGGTGGCAGCCATGATGAGAATATGTTTAGTTGATCACAAAATATAAGCTGATTTACATGAAAAAGTCATACACCATTAGGATATTGAAGTATTCTCAAACCTCAAATAGTTTGTTTCGGTATCGGGAACTGAAATCGTCTTCGTCGGACAGTTTCCGATGGGCGATCCGCAGAGACGCCTTGACTCGGACTTATCCGAGGGACTGTCCGCTTCAAAAACGCTAGCGCTAACCCACTCCCCCGCCCCCGACATTTGCGGATTTTAAATCCAATCGACGCGACTGGTTGTGGATTTGCAGATATCGCCGACGCCCAACATTATAGTGACAGCTAATCCTGGTGGCTACTACATAGCAGATTTTTTACCTTGTTTACTCATACCACAGACACAATGTTGAGAGTTGGCCGCACAATAGGCACAGGGTCCGCCGTTCGATCTATGGCCACAGTGGCTAGAGTTAGGGGACAAGCACCATTGAGTCGATTTGAGCCTGATCATAGCGTTGACTATGTGAGTTTCGTGGATAGACTTCCCCGTTTACGGAAGATGTAGGTCAATTCACCCTCTATGCAGTTAGATGGTTACTGATTGCGTTGCACTCAGCCTTGACCGCCCTCTCACCTATGCTGAGAAGGTTCTCCTTGCCCACCTTGATGGTGAACAAGATGAGAAAGTGATTCGAGGTACAACACAGCTAAAGCTGAAACCTCGGCGAATAGCCTGCCAAGATGCGACAGCTCAGATGGCTATCATTCAATTCATGACAGCTGGACTTGACAAGACTGCAGTTCCCACCACAGTTCACTGCGATCATCTTATCGTAGGACGAGATGGGAGTCAACAAGACCTAGCAGGGGCACTCACAAGCCATGGTGAGGTATATGAATTCATGTCAAGTGCTTGTCAACGCTACAATATGGGTTTCTGGAAGCCCAATGCAGGCATCATCCATCAGATTGTGCTTGAGAACTACGCTTTTCCCGGCGGCATGTTAATCGGAACTGACTCTCACACACCAAATGCCGGCGGGATGGGCATGATCGCTGTGGGTGTTGGTGGTGCTGATGCGGTTGATGTCATGTCAGGTCTTCCTTTAGAGATTACAGCCCCCAAAATCATTGGGGTCAAATTGACAGGTCAATTAAGCGGCTGGACTAGTCCCAAAGGTACGTTATGCATGAACCATTCTGTATACAGCTACTGATAAATCAAGATGTCATCAATGCAGTTGCAGGAATCCTTGGAGTCAAGGGTGGCACCGGAAACATTATTGAATACTTTGGTCCCGGCGCAGAAACAATATCAGCTACGGGGATGGCCTCAATTACTAACATGGGCGCTGAAACGGGAGCAACAACGTCCATCTTCCCTTACTCTGGAGCCATGTCTTCTTACTTACGCGCGACCCGCCGACCCGAGCTGGCTGAAGCTCTACAAGTGGCCAAGCATGAGCTTCAAGCAGACGAGGGTGCAGAGTATGACCACGTTATCGAGATCGACCTGTCTACGCTAGAGCCTCGCATCAATGGCCCATTTACGCCAGACTTATCGACGCCAATCTCGAAATTGGGTCAAGCAGTTCAGGAGAATAAGTGGCCACAAAAGCTTACCGCCGGACTCATCGGATCATGCACAAATTCTTCTTTTGAAGATCTATCTCGCGCTGCCAGCTTAGCACGCCAAGCTCTGGATGCAGGGTTAAAGCCCAAGATGCCATTGCTCCTCTCTCCTGGAAGTGAGCAGACAAACCAGACACTCAAGCGTGAGGGCGTCACTGAGGTCTTTGAGCGTCTGGGTAGCAAGATCCTGTCTAATGCCTGTGGGCCCTGCTGTGGTTCATGGGACAGAACCGAGATGAAGAAGGTATATTGATACTCCTGACCTTTTATCTTTATTCATTTCTCACGCATGAACAGGGCACGCCAAACTCAATCCTGGCATCCTATAACAGAAATTTCACAGGACGCCTTGACGGAAACCCAGCCACCCATGCATTCCTTTCTTCCCCTGACATGGTCATGGCGAAGGTCTTTTCTGACGACCTCGGCTTCAATCCGCTGCAAGATAGCCTTGTCACAGAGTCTGGCGATGAGTTCCGTTTCAAGCCTCCTAGTGGTGACGCACTCCCATCGGAGGCCTATGAGAACACAGACCATGTCTACGATGCGCCCTCGACGGACCCCCAGTTCCGACAAACCGTAGACGTTCAAATATCACCAGGGTCTCAACGCTTGCAAAGACTACCTCCCTTCAAGCCTTGGTCCGGGCAAGATTTCGTCGAGTGTCCTATCCTCATCAAGACTGTTGGTAAATGCACAACAGACCATATCACTACAGCAGGCCCATGGATGCGTTTCCGTGGTCATCTAGAAAACATTTCTAACAATACTCTCATTGGCGCTGTCAACGCGGATAACAAAGAGGTTAATAAGGTGGTAAACCAAATTACTGGAGGGCATGGTGGTGTTCCAGACACAGCCAGAGACTACCAACAGCGAGGACTTCCATGGGTCGTCGTAGCAGATCACAACTACGGCGAGGGATCATCACGTGAGCATGCCGCTTTGCAGCCCCGATACCTTGGCGGCGTTGCTATCATCGCCCGTTCATTTGCCCGTATTCACGAAGCCAATCTCAAGAAGCAGGGTATGCTGGCCTTGACATTCGTTGATGATACGGCTTATGATAGGATCAAGGCTTCCGATCGCATCAGCATTGTTGGACTGGCGGGGCTAGCACCTGGAAAGCATGTGCAGCTCAGAATCAGTTCGAAGGATGGTACAAGTTGGGTAACCAGAACTAAGCACACCTTTACCAGTGAGCAAGTTGAGTATTTCAAGGCTGGAAGTGCTCTGAATGTGATGGCTAGTCGGCTTTTAGACAAGTCGCCTCCATCAGCTGCCTTATAATCCCCATTTAGTAATAAGTTTTGTGCGATTCTCATCAGAGATAATTTGGTGTATGTGAGTAATGCTTATGCTTGCAGATACAGAATTGAGTTATAAAATTACATATTACACATTTGTTCTATTCATCCACTGCAATACTCAGCCGTAGCATATTACGTGTTTTCTTCTCGCAACTTTGTTACAAGGTTCTATAATCTAGGACCTGGGTCTTAGTTGCACAAATGTGCAACTAAAGCGGAAGAATATACCAAAAGAAGAAAAGCAAGAAACAACAGCCGATTTGACATGAGAAAGGAATTATACATTTAGGATGGTAATTGATATTGCATAACTACTTCCAATAAATCAACCCATCCATCAAACGCCTAGCTGTACGGAAAACAGTGGCTTTGGTCAACTCTCCTGCATCATCAAAAGAAGCATCTACTCGCAGCCTGCCGCTAGCATGGCAGATGTCTAAGCCATCTTGTTTTTGTTCGCCCCTGAGGCACTTTGCGATTGTACTTCCCGGCAACTTGGCAGCAGCAGCAGTAGCCAACGCTACAGTTACTGGAACTGCCTTATGGGCTTGACCCACTGACATTGCACGGATGTTGACCTCGCCATTTGTTGGCTTGTTCCGCGGCGAAGCGATGGCGATCTTGGGGACGCTTCCAGGGACGTTGTTCAGATCCTGGGCAAGACCCATCTTGATGGCAGCTTGACGACGGATAGATTCAAGCTTGGCCTTAAGTGTTGTATCGTCCTCAATATCATCCGACGATAGTTCGCCATCAATGCCGAGCTCCGAAGCGTTGACAAATACACATGGATTTCCAACATCGATACATGTCGCTTTATAGCCATCAAAGGTGTCCAAAATACTGCCGGTAGGAAGTAACTTCCCAGTGCGAGACCCAGCTGGTTTGACAAAGTCAAGCTGTACAGGCGCAGCTGTCCCTGCCACTCCGTCAATGGCAAAGTCACCAGAAGCGGCGGCCTCTCCATCCACAGTGGGGAACGAGGCATTGATGATCTTGCCGGTATTCGTGTTGTGAATGCGGACAGTGTATCGCTCTTGGGAGCCGCCCGGTGCTGATACAAGTCCCGAATCCACCGCGAAAGGCCCCACTGCAGCCGACATGTTGCCGCAGTTGCTTGAATAGTCAACCTTGTCATTCTTGATGCCTAGGGAGACGAATGTGTAGTCAACGTCGGCGTCTGGGTGCGTTGGGGGCCCGACGATGCAAACTTTCGATAGACTAGAAATGCCTCCACCCATTCCGTCGAGTTGCCGTCCGTATGGGTCAGGGCTGCCAACGACATTAAGGAAAATGCCATCTCGCTGATCGGCCGGTGGTAGATCTTGACTCTTGAAGAAAACGGCCCTCGATGATCCTCCTCTGTAGTATGCTGCAGCTAGACGATTCTGGCGGGCAAATGTGCTGATCTTGCGAGCTTGAGCGAGATGCAAATTTCCAGTTGACCGTATAACTTGGGGTTTACAAAGGACCCTCAGGGTATGTAAACGAGGCATGATTTTGGAAATGTGCCGACAGAATTCAAGAAACGTTGGTGCCTGATAAGCCTTGACAAATCGCGTAATGCTTATTAGGCTTCGAGGTGTCTTGACTCATTTTTAATCTGTCATTGGGAATAGACATCTATCGATTATGCGTGTCGGATCGGACTCCTCCGACAAGGGGCATGCGTAGGATCGGCTTCGTGCCTCTGATTAGCAAAGTTCATCGGACCATGATCGGATGTGTCCGATCAATCTGCTTCGCCACTCTGCGGCTGGGATTGGTCAGTCGTCAGCCCGCCCTACCGTAGAACCTTAGCACATTCCATAGTCGAGTGGCACTAAGCTTGTGACCCCATGGGGATCGTCTAGCCCAAGTTCTCCAGAGTGCGGAGATGTAATCCGGAGGTGCAGAGGCGAGTTGCGACTGACCCCAGCGCTTTAATGGTATAAAGTCGGCATCCATCTCGCAAAAGGATGTGAGCTGAGCAATTCCAGTAATACTCCATCATCTCCGCAAACCCGTCACAATGAAGGAAACAAGCTTTGGCAAGTACAAGAAAGCCGTCCAGGCATTGCCACGAGATATCTTTAATCGTCAATTATTTTTGACGGCTCTGTCGTTTGCCTTGTGCGGATGCCCGAAAGGCAAGTCATTCTCTCAACTCACTCTGAGTACAACAGTATACTGACCTGAACCTCTCTACAGGATGGGACGAGGGGTCCGCGGCGTCTATTACCCAGCTCAAGTCTTTTCAGAGACAGTACGATCTTGATAGCCAACTCGATAACGAAACCATCGAAAACCTCGTCTCCTTCGTCAACATCGGTGCCGGCTTTGGGGCCTTCTTGTCCTTCTTTCTCAATGACAGGCTCGGACGTATACAATCTATGAGGCTCTATCAGACTATATACGTTGTAGGTTCTCTGGTATCCTGCTTCTCCTACGGCAACGTTGGTGCACTATACTTTGGCAGAATCTTTGCTGGTCTGGGTATTGGTGCCTGCACTGTCATTGGACCAATGACTCTGGCAGAGATCGCACCGGCGACTATCCGAGGTTTCATGACTCTCTGGTTCAATATGTGCATGCTCCTCGGCCAGGCTCTTGGTATCTTTACCGTGTATGGCTGCAATGTGCACATATCAAGCGCCAAGAACCTGCAGTACGAAGTTCCCTGGTTCGTCCAGACTTTCGCTCCATTTATCGGCGTCGTTGTGTCTTTCTTCATCGTGGAATCTCCAAGGTGGCTCGCTATCCGCTGCCGTCAAGATGATGCGCTGAAAGCACTTTCTGCCTTGCGCGGGTTACGTGCTGATGACCCCTTCATTTTAGAAGAGTTCAGCCACATCATTCACACAGTCGAAGATGAAGGCAGACAGAACGGAGGCAACAGCTTCGTCCTTGTCATGAAAGAGACATTCTTTGTCCGCTCCAACCTGCGTCGCGTGCAACTCACCTTGATTGCCTATGTCCTGGCACAGTTCTCTGGCGCGAACTCGGTGACCAACTACCTTCCAACTATCTTCGGATTGGTCGGAGTAACTGGACGGGATACCAAGATTTACTCATCAGGCCTTTATGCTGTTGCAAAGTTTGTTTGTACCATGGCCGCCTCTCTCTTCTTTGTCGATATGCTTGGCCGCAGAAAGTCGCTCATGATTGGTGTCACTGTCCAGATGCTCTGCCATTCTTACCTTGCTGGTTACTTGAATGTTTTCAGATCTGATGGAATTGCGGTTCCCAAAGGTGCATCTGATGCTGCCATTGCAGTCATTTATATTCACGCTTTTGGTTGGGCTGTGGGACTTTACACGCTGCCATACCTTTTTGGTGCTGAACTATGGCCCAACCGCATCCGTTCCTTCGGCGGTGCTCTCTCGCAGTCCTTCCACTGGTTCTTTTACTTTGCTATTACAAAAGCTACACCTAGTCTTTTGAGTAGCATGGACGTTTGGGGAGCATTCATGTTCTTTGTCGGATGGTGTATGGTTGCTCTGGCGTACACCTTCTTCTTCGTCCCTGAAACCAGCGGACTTAGTCTCGATGACATGAACGTGATTTTCTCACGACCGATGTACAAGATGCGCCAGTCTCTACCATCCTCCCGAGCGGGCATTGACGTGTGAGTTACAGCTCCCTCTCCGTCCCAGCAGTTGATAACTAACACCATAGCAGGTTAGATGAAAAAGAAGATGTTTCGGCCAAGTCTCAGCATCACGAGACAGCTGGGAAATGATGGCCGTGATGCCAAGAACGATTTGTTAGTACAGTTTTGTACGCGAAGAGTGATTAGAACAATACTCATATTCATGTTCTGCGACTCCCGGCAGTGGTTCACTTGTACAATGCCTCGATGCTAACCTGAATCATGAACCGTCTGAGATAGTCAGTAAAATGTATTGCACGAATAATTTAAACCTTAGTCACTTGTCGCCCACTCCATGGTTCCTTTATGTTAAGAGACCTTCCTATCTACTATCGTGATTCACTATCATTCTGCACCCACCATGTTCCGGTCGTCTTTGTTCTGGATGCGCATTCGACGGTCAACACCTTGCGGCATCATACTTGAACCACACTTTTCTTTTTCTTCTATCCGTGTAGCGTTTAGGTCTATATTGTTGTAACTATCTAGCTATAGAACTTAAATTTTAGACATGATGTGTATCTATAGTTATCAGGATAAACGAATAGTTATAGATTCAGGGCCTTTTCCGTTCTCTCTATGGTTATCAATATAGCGAAACTCATCTAATCTCATACACTTGACGTAAATAGCTTTCTCGGATTTTCAACCATCATCTTCCTCCAGGCATCATCGCCTCCCGCCCAATCTCTGAGAGATTGCAAGATGCCGAAGTTGTCAATCGTACGGAACTGTTCAATTTCGGCCAGCCGTTTGGCCGCGTCCTTCTTGGCTCGGGTCGCACCCTCTCCTGTGTGTGGCCAGTCACTAGCCCAGATTAAACGATCGGGCACTTCCTTAAACAAACGGCGCATGATGGTTTCTAAGTCATCGTAGCCATTTTCTGACCGCGACGATGCACGGTATAAACCAGAAATCTTGATCCATACGCGGCGGTGTTGAGCAAGGTGCAGAAGGCTCTCAAACCCAGGCTGCGACAGTGCTGCTGCATCATCCCCAGCATCACCACTCCCAAGTTTGGATGAACCCAGCAGCCCACCGACATGATCAGCAATAATCTCAATAGGTAGTTTCAAGACAAATTCATAGAGACCTAAGGAGGCACAGGGTCAGTATCTTTAAATTTGACTTCTGATATGAAATCCTTACCATCCCAAGTAGCAGCAGGGGCGAAGATCTGTAGCCTCCAACCTGCCAGATCTTGAATTTTCTCAGCTGCGACGAGAAGTGTCTCTTTTAGTTTCTCCAAGTTCACGCCTTTCCCATCTGATTGTAGATTTATTCGCAAGCCACGTACACCAGCTTGGTGCATCTGTAGCAATTCATCGCGTGTAATGTTCAGAACGTTGACCACAGCGATGCCTCGAGCGAAAATGGCGAAGCTACTGTTCAATTTTTGCAAGGAGTGCAGCAACACCCGATTATCAGTATCATATGGTGAAGGCTGAACCAGGACCAAGTTCAGTGGATTGCTAGAACTGTTCAATGTTGACGAAAATCTGATAAGATCCTCCATGGGAGCACCTGCGGGGGTATATGCTCTAGATTCAGCGTAAGGTCCGACTGACGGGTCAAACACATGGACATGCGTGTCAAAGCTGTCGTCTGGTACCGCGAATGGGAGCTGGGTTATATGGGGCATACTGGATATTGAATGTTTGATAACTGAATATAACGGTTTTTTCTTTTCTTACATGAAACGTGTAATAAGTATGCCGGAGTAACTGTTATAAAACGTGGTTAGCGTTGCCGCGGTACAGCGTTAGGTGATCGGAACCCTCCGACAGCGGGTCTACAGCTTTTCCGGGCATATGTCCCGTGCCCCATGACGTGTTGACCCAAACTCAAAAGCGGAGTTTCTTCCTCGGAAGAGACCGATGCCAACTTTTCCCAATCATTTCACTCCCTGTGCTAAGCAGACTCGGCACGGGCGTCTCAGGATGGACATGAGCGAGCGTGAAGTCACTGTTCCGCAATCTCAATCTCAACCTCAATCACCCTTGGCGACAGCTCTGCCGTCAAATCTAACTGGAACTCAGAGTCAAAGCCACGCCTCGCGAAGGCAGTTGAAGAGGAATTCGGCTGCATGCGAGCGCTGTCGAAGGCGTAAGCAAAAGGTTCCCGTCCCCGCAATCTCAATCCCGGACAGTACCTATTACTCATTGATGACGCTTGACTAACTCTCGCAAAGTGCGACGGAAAATTGCCGTCTTGCGGACCCTGTCTCCTTGTCCAGGAGAAATGCGTCCCGTCCGATAGACTGCTCATCCGGGTAGACCCCAACTGCCAATGCGACGTTCTGAAGGAGCGGGTTCGCGACCTTGAGAGTCAGCTCCAGGTTCTGCGAGCTGAAAGACATGGAGACAGTGGATCTCCTGGTCCGTCCAATCACTTCTACCAAGAATACAACAGTGGCCCACCCAGAATCGTCGACAATCGAGATATCACATATCATGGTCGCATACTCCGACCCACGTTTGCCGAGTCCCATGGTGGCTCCATGCTGAGACCACCCTTACGAGGGAGTCCGTGGCAGCTTTGGGCAGGCGACCCAGACAGTCGAGCATCGCCAAGACGAACAACCGACTTTACTGCTGATCTTGCACTGACACCAGACATCGACGCTCTGGTTGAGGTTTTTTTCACCAATCGATGGCCTCAGCTGCCCTTGCTCCATAAACCAACGTTCATCCAAGATGATCTTTTGCCTTTGACGAGAGGTGAACCGGGCCAGTTGTTGTCGTCGTTCCGAGTCAACATGGTCCTTGCGATAGCAAGTGCTGAAACGGATTCAAAGGATAACCCTCAGCATCAGCACCATGTACATAGAACTTTCTTCGAGGCAGCCATCAAAGACCTCAGCACTGTCATGTCGGCCAACGACCTGGATTGCATTCAATGCCTACTTCTGTTATGTGTTTACGGAACCAATGAGCCTCAACTGGTCAACATCTGGTACACCCTTGGTCTGGCGTTACGCATTGGTCTAGGTATGGACCTTCATCAGGAAGAAACTTCAAGTACCGGGCAAAGTCTTTTGTCTCAGGAGATGGCCCGGCGCCTCTTCTGGTGCACCTACACTTTGGATCGCAGCATGTCTATAGCAATGGGTAGACCACTTGGCATAAATGACTCCGAAATTACGGTACCCGTACCACAGCAGTTGACGGATAAGCAGCTCTGTTCCGGAGAAGCTGTGCTTAATCCCATCCACAGCCCTAGAGACATGTCGACTTTCCTACACGTCATCAAGCTACGTCAAATCAACGCTGCTATCTACATGTCCTTACATGCAGCTTCTACGAGTGCCAGCAACGAATGTGGCAGTCTAGATGTTCTACGTGAGCGGCACTATACTGAGCTTAACACATGGCTTGTCACGACACCGCGTTACGGACCAGCCAGTGGCGTGGCCATGCTGCAGACACCAGAATGGTTTCAAATCGCTTATCATTATGCTGTCCTTTCTCTGTACCGTCCATCAAGGGTGTTTCCTGTTACTAACCTCGCTTCACTCAGACTTTGTGCAGACTCTGCCATCAGTCTAATCTCATGTTATAATACCTTATATGCCAAGAACAGAATTAGCTATACTTTTGTTGCGCTGAACTCATTATTTATGGCAGCAGTCATGATGCTATATGCTCTTAGGTCTAGCCCCACGATTCGCAGCGAGCTAAGTAAAGGCGTTGCTAGAGCCAATATTGACATGTGCCAAAGGCTTTTGCGAGGCATATCAGATGGGCGATCTGTTGGTGAGCGATGTGCTGTAGTTGTAGGGAGGCTTGGAGAGGCCACTATTGATGTATTTGACCGGGAAGAGGCAGTTAACGACGGCATAGATACCGAGTTTATGTCGTGGTTTGGATTGAAACTACAAAGAATTCACGACTCTGAAATAGGGCAGGGGGTCACTCCAAGTATTAATATTCCTTGGAATGACTTATTTATTGAGGGATTTAATGGGTTTGATGTAGGAAGCTATAGTTATCTTGACTTAATAGTTTAAAGTCTTTTAAGAAGATAAAACAAAGTAAAAGGTATATATACTATTTATGCAGTCCTTTTATTGCCCTGATGTGTAAAAGTTGGTAAATATTAAGGCTTTAGGAAAATATATAATTATAAATACATTAAAAGTATAATAAAGTAAAATTAAATAGTTAGTAAATAAAAGCAATTAAGAAACTAATAAAGGCTTACTTAATAATTGAAGTCTATAAATATTTACAGGATATACTAAGCTAGTACTTTAAGAGCTTTTATAATTAATTTAGCTATATTACTTATTACTTAATTAAGCTATAATGAGATTATACTTAAATTAACTACATCATTTTAATTAAACATAACACGGTCTTTATCTACTTTTGCGTCAAGGTATCGCCTAATAATCGGGCCAGCGGCAACAGCTGCAATAGAAACACATGAATCGACAAACCCAATTCCTCTCTTTGGTGAAGGCCCTATCATAGCCCCGAACAACAAGGCCGCTTCATACTCGCTGCAAATAACATACTCATTCTTATCAACTTCCTTCAAGATATAATCAGCTACCTGTTTCGACGAGTGGAGCTTCTGCGTCAACTCAGTTATCGGTGCAGCAGTTCCGTCGAGCTGTTTCGTTATCTCTGGTTTATTGCCAAGCTCGTCAATGAAGGACGGTGAGATGAAGTTTGATGGAAAACTGATATGTACGGAGTACTCTGATACAGGGCCTGAGTATCTCTTCAACTCGGAGCGAAGAGTATCGGCCAGAGCTCGTACGGCGCATTTTGCGGCTGATATGTCTGTCAGACGTGGAATCGAGACGAGTCGAGTATGTTAACTCACGCGTATACGCGATATAGCCAGGAAAGGCCACAAAAGCAGCAGCACTACTGATAAAAACCAATTTCCTGCGTTTGACAGACCCTTTGACACTAGGACTTGATTTCTTTTGCTTGTCATCTTGAACCCATAGTTTCAATATCGCTTGTGCTGGGTAGGCACTTGTAAGATAGTTGTTGGTCATGCATCGCTGCAGATCTGTAGGATCGAGGTCAACGAGAAACCCGAGTTCATTAGTAGTACCTCCAGCTAGGCAGTAAAGAATATCTGGCAGCCTTGGTTGAGATGCGAATGTAGATTGGATCTGTTGAACGTTGTGAGATCACTTCAGAACGCTCATGAACTTCTTACCTTTTCTGGATCTGTTAAATCAAGTGACTGGACGATTATGTCTTGGCTTTGAGACTTTCTTGCAGCAGAAACCTTTTCTCTCGCGATTTCAAGCTGTTCTTGCCGACGCGCGAAAATGGTAACGTGGCAACCTGATCGGTGGTCAAACCCGAAGCAAGTAAAGATAGGGTAATTATTACGAACCTCGACTCGCCAGCGCGACCGCCAGTTCCTCACCAAGACCCGTCGAACCACCGGCAAGGAAAACTGTCTATGATATGAGTTTTTAGTTTGGATCATAGAACTGCGAGTGATAACAGTTCTTACTTTGTCAGTAAGGTCGCTCATAGCTGATGAGTTAGTACCCAGAGAAGTCATTGTCGTTGCCAACGCCAATATCATATAGAAATCGTAACACATTGTTGGAATCGGGCTTGCTGGCCAATGCATTACCCTGTAGAAGCACTGACCCATGATCTCTGCTCCAGTGGCCGAGAACCTGTTGGTTTGTCACTGCCGTTTTATCCGGTGTCCCAGTCGATTCGTGCTGACTGCGTATAACCTATGACTTGATTGGTTGATCAGTTTGTTTGCGCCCTTTTCCATCTCCTGGCGGCTCGCCGGGTCCACAAATCACCGTCATCATCTCGGCGACCGGAACCCTGAAGCATGCAAGGAGGACATCAGAGATAATACTCGGGCGATGCAAACAGCGAGAGGTGCAAGAAAGGAGAGGATGCTTTGACTGTGGGAATACAATTTGGTACAGCAATCCCGACACGTCTAGCACCGAGTTCAGATCCCAAATCCGCAGTCTTTCATTGGTGAAATGGCAATTATGGAATCGGTCAGATTCAGATGTCCGAGGGTCGAGACGGCGTTGGGTTGCATAGTTAGTTAGCACGCTGGTGGTGGTGTCGCAGCCTCTACGTTTGACCTTTTTGTCATCTAGCCACTGGTTAACAATCTGCCCCTGTAGACAGGCAGCCTCAGTACAACTTGGACTTTTCACCCTCTCTTCCATGCACTCCTTTACTTCTGTTTTCTCTGGATCTATCCAACGTGACAATCACAACTAGAAGCTATGTCTGCCTCTGTGAATCCCTCCCTCTTCGCGAACTGCACTGTCTCCACGTGCCCGCTATCGACATCCTACTACAATTATCGCATCAATCTGGCTGCAAATGCAGTGTTTGTTGGTTTGTTTGGGCTGACCTTCATCTGGTTCTTCGCTGTCTGGGCCTACACGCGACGCGGCTTCTGGTTCATGTTTGCCATGGAACTGGGCATCATAACCGAGATCATCGGATATGCTGCACGCGTGATATCGTGGAAAAACCAGTGGAACCAGAACGCTTTCCTTGCCCAGATCGTCTGCATCACTATCGGTCCAGCCTTCCTGTCGGCGGGCATGTATCTCTGCCTCAGCCGTATCGTGGTGATCTATGGAGAAGAGAACTCTCGTCTACCGTCAAGGTGGTACACTCGATTGGTGAGAACGACTAATTAATACATCGGCTCGAGGCTAATTTGCCTTTATAGTTTATCCCCTGCGACGTTCTGTCACTCGTCCTCCAAGCTGCAGGTGGCGTCATGGCTTCCATCGCTCTCCAAGACAACAAGTCCCTTACAACCGGCGACAACATCATGATCGCTGGCTTGGCATTCCAGGTCTTTACTCTCCTCGTATTCATCGGTCTCTGTGCAGACTTCATGATGTCCTTGCACCAGAGGAAGCGTGAGCTTGGTGCTGCAGTTGTCCTGCCGCAGGATCCAGCTTTGACAAAAGTCCGCGACTCGTGGCAATTCATGGGATTCAAAGTTGCTTTGGGACTTGCTATTATGTTGGTTCTGTGGCGTTGCTCGTACAGAGTTGCGGAGCTGAATCAAGGCTGGACTGGACCCATTACATTCAACCAATATCTGTTCGTAGGCATGGAGCCAGTCCTGATTACGGCAGCAGTGTACGCTCTTGCTCTCTTCCATCCTGCACTTTGCATGGGAGAAGCGATGAGCCTCAAGAACAATCTGACAATTTCCCGATTCATGAAAAGCAGGCTGTGATGTCGAATCTACCTGTCCCCTAACATCAAAGAGTCGCATAAGTTCGGAACAGGAGAGGTGTAAAGAAGTGGCCATTTGGCGATTGTTCTCATCCTGTTTTTCTATTCTACCTAGAGATCTTTTATTCTACAAATAGTTTCATGTAATGCCACCGTGTCGGAATCTAGTCTAGGCCGTGTCAATAGAGACCAGGATCTTAACTGTGGCTTCCATCGTCCAGTAACCCCAAAGCCCATTGCTGGAAGTCCAAATCTGCAAAATCGAAGTTCAAATTGGTAGTTGTGCGCCCACTCATCTCCGAACCCAGCAAGGCAAGAGTTGTTGGAGAGCTCTCGAAAGCATAAGTGTATTGTGTACCGGATGAGCTGGAAATTGTACTTCCCGCTGATACTGATGCAAAGGTTTGAGAGACAGGATTTACATTAGTACATGGTGGGCTCATGTGAAGTTGTGAACCTTGAGGCGGAATGAAGGAATCTGACTGAAAGGTTTCGGTCCACGCTCCAGGACTGGGTCGGTTGGAACAAAGGGTCAAGACAATTTCTCCAACCTCCATAAGTTTCTTTATGGCGATATTGGTTTCTGTGACCCTAGAAATAGATCGTAGTACATCAATAAACGATGTCATGAGCTCAATGACAGAGTCAATTGCTTTTCCCGTCCGCTTCAGTATGATGAAAGAGCATAGTTTAATAAAGCTCACAGAGGCATACCCGATAAGAATTCTATACATTTTACTGGTGAGTAGAAGGACCAGAAGCATAGAAAAGAAGTATAACTAACCGGATAACTGTCAAGTGATTGCCAGGCTCTGTGTTTTGCCTCCAGAGATCTATGAACAGAGACAAGCATTTTGATGAACTAGCCACCATTGCGTCTTCTTTATCAATTCTCCAATACAAAAGAACTTGCAGTGCACACACAACAAGTCTTAGTTCGGCTTTGGCGAAGCTCATGTCTTGGTAATCCTCACGATCACCAAGTCTGCACTCTTCTGAGAATCGCTGGAGCCTTTGTGTCAGATTAGAAACTATCTGATCGACCTGGCTGCTTGGCTGATCTCCAGAAACATCAGAGTAAAGCTGTAGGAACATTGTTTCCTCTATGTGACTGAGCCTGGCACGAGCAAGTAAGCCTAGATCAATACCTGAACGAGATAGCAGGACTTCAGGATGCCACAAAGGTACTTGTGGAGGCTGACCGTCGGTCCAACATCTCGTTTTATCAAGTATATACAAGCAGAGAAATAGGGTTTTTCTTTCTTGCATCTCGTCGTGTGTGTAACCCTGGAATGACTCCGACTGATACAGTCCAAGTGGCTTAGCGCCTGCAGCAGCCAAGGTGAGAAACAGGCTAGCACGTTCTGAGCCCCAGTGGATTTGTGCAACCAAATGCTATGCTGTATTAGTGTGACACTTTCGGCTAATCATCTCAGTGGAGCATACCAAAGATAGAAGCGCTTGTATGTTACTTAGACGCTGGGTCATGAGCTCCTGGAGATTGTGAACAGCCCATGTTGCGTTTGAGAGAAAGTATTTGACAAGATCCAGGTCAATAGAGCTCCAGTCTGATCCAGAACTTCTCGACGATGATGCCAGCTTTGCAGTGAGTATAAGAATGGCTAGACTGTTACAGAAAATTACATGAACTGCATGCGGTTGATCTTCGGGCGATGTTAGTTGCATGTCGGCGATAAAGTCCTGGAAGCGATCTCGTGACCATATTGGCATGTGGCGGTTGATGTTGTCGAAGTATGGATCAATCATTGGCTGGAGAATGCCTAGGGGAGGCGTTGTAGGTGGTGACGAATTTTTTAGTGAAGGAAGAAGCTCGGCTTCACTCACAATTTGGAATAGCCTTTCCTTGGCTACTATAAGTTCGTTCCTAGTGGTGATTTGTTGACTGGGAGTTTGACATGATGGAACCAGAATAGCGTGAGTCAAGTTATTGATTAACGAATCTAGGGAAGTAGATCCAACATATTGATGAGTCCCGTCTGCCCGGTGAAGAAGGCGAAAGTGTCCTGGCTGCAGAGTAGTACCTCGAGGTTGCGATGAGTTTGGCGTCGACGAGGTAGAGCCATAGGCATGCGTTAAGAAATCCAGGGATACGGGGTCTTGCAAATCCCGGGAAGCTGGTGTATATAACAGAGCTTCCCCAGTCCTGGAGTCCAGTCTTGCTAAGGTAGCTTGTATATCAGACATGCTCTTCTCCAGCCGGTCAATACGACCCTCAAGCCCAACGACGGCATTGCTGCTACCCGACATGTTGTTAGTTACACAGATTGGAATCCAACATGCAGAATCATGATTCAAACTATAACTTACAGCATTACTATCTGGCTGGGTCTCTTGCCGGAACCCGACCACTCGCATTCAATACCGAGACGGGCGCAGTTGGAGCAATTAGGCCGTTCCCTGCCGCAGCGGATCTTTTTGATACGACATTGATCGCATACTAGGCATTTTCATGCGCCTTAGCTGCATGTCTCTGTGACTCTCTTAGTAAATACGACTTACCTGGGTATTCTTTGGCACCACCGACGTTTCGATCCGTTCTTTCATTGGAATGGTCAATCTTGGGACTTGACATGCTTGGATGCCGACCCTCATGTAGTACAGTAATTGTTGGAGTACTTAAGAACTGGGGAAGGCAATGCAAGAGGATAGCTAAATAGATACCGTAATGTTTGGGGCCGACATCTCAGTGTTAAACCAAAAGGCAAGGGGAATTAACGCCGCTTCATAAAACATTCTTTTGTAAGCCTGGGGTATGTACAGTTTAGTTTGCTTGCTTACTCTTTCCTCTACTCACCAAGTTCCACTAGTCTTGTCTTTGTTCCTTCAGGGCCGACTTATCTCCAATTCCGTCGCTCAATGTTGGACACCCGAGCTCGATTATAGATAAGACATTGCCCAAAACTTGCATATTGAGGAGGAAAAGGCTGTTCCGCATATGCTTCAGCTAAGCGGGCTTCTTAGAACATAAAAGGCAACTGTATGCTGCATTCATGTTATCAGTATGGTAGGTAATCTCACGGGTAGGTTCAGAGGCCCGGCCCTTGTTGGTGTCTGTTTTACCCGGACCTATAGAATCTATACAACCAAGGTCCAGTATTTAAGGTTTAAGCTAGTTGCCGCTCTCCCGAGCGGGCCGCGTGTCTTTAGGCCCTAGGGCTGTGTGTGGTAGGATCCAATACAAATAATTTCGTCCTGAGCTAAAGTCTGACTAACGCTACTCAAACGAGTTCACAGCCATTCTGGAGGGGTCCAGCTCCTTGACATTGGCCACTGCAGCCAGCTTGTACACCTCCTTCATGGCGCTCGGCACTTCTTTGCCGCCCGTCTCACCATGCTGAATATCGAGCATCTCTTGCGCCCAATCGATGACAGATGATGCGAGCCCCTCTACTTCCTCATCCGTATTGCCTGCGTGAATTATGAGTCTGACTCGACCTGTGCCTCTCGGAACGACAGGAGGATCAATCGGTGTCGCATTAAATCCATCTCTGTGCAGATGCATTGTGAGAAAGTAGTTCTGGCCCTGTCGGGTCCAAACGGGGAGAAATTGCGTGACAAAGGATCTGGATTCAACATCCTCACTGACGGGGATGCTGCAGATGCCAGAATCCACAGCGTCTTGCCAAATGTCACTCTCCTTGATTATGTCGCAGAACATTCGAACAAGCTTTTGGACCCGCGCCTGAAGCTGACATACGACACAGACAGCCGGTCAGCTCTAGATCACAAATATAGGGCAGTGACGGTTGGTTCTGTGAGGCGGAGCGGGTATACAGCCCTGGAGAGGCTTCGCGGTTGCAGTTGCAGTAGAGTTGGCATTAAATTCTCACCAGACGTGCGTAGTACATACCTGCTGAGTCCGCCCACTTTCCATCAGCTTATACCCTGCTTGTATGGCTGCGATCATGGGGAATGAGGGCGCTGTAGTAAATATAATAGGCCGAGCGAAGTTGAGCAGCGTATCGAGCACGCTAGGGCTGGCCAGGATGGCCGCTATGATGTCAGACAGAGTTAGCCACGAAAACACTCCCAAGATTATCGCTCCAAGTCGCATGACCATGGTAGTACACCTACCTCCGGTAGTTCCCAATCCTTTGCCATATGTGTGTAAGCGTATAGCAACTTTCTTCTCTAACCCCAGCTCGCAAACTAGGCCGCGTCCATTCTTTCCAAGCAAGCCTGTGCTATGGGCCTCATCGATTATGATCTGTCCATTACCAGCGGGGAAGATCTCTTCGACAACTGAGACGATATCTGCGAGGGGTGTGACGTCTCCATCCATACTGTAAACTGACTCTACCGCCACTAGGACACATCGTGACCCGTCGCGGATGAGCGATTGGTTCGTTTTGAGCTCTACAAGAACCTCTCGCAGAGCCTCAGCATTATTATGCTTGAAGGGGAGCTGAGTAGCTGCCATACTGGACTTCATGCCATCGTGGGCGCTTGCATGGATGAGCTCATCATATACAATGACATCGCCTGGACGTGGCACTGCTGAGAATATGGCACAGTTGCCGTCATACCCAGAACCCACTAGGAGGGCACCTTCAGCACCGTGAAAGTCGGCGATGTGTTTCTCTACAGCCTCCATATAGGCGTTATTTCCATCTGCGATTCGCGATGCTGTGCTTCCCACAGCGAAATTTGGATTGGTCCTCAGCTCCTCTAGAAAGGCATCTCGTAGTAATCCCGAAGTGGCCAGAGACAGAAAGTCGTTGGACGAAAAGTCGACTTTATGCTCAAATCTGTGCAATGTCAAGAGACTGTGATCAGCCCGACGTTGATCTAAAGCCACCTCTAGATTGCGATGAAATGGGCTCGCTTCTTTCATGGCGGGAGCCTTGAGCTTCTGTCCCTCGAGCCATTTGAGGATCTGGCCAAGGTCTTGGCCCATGTAGGCGTCTTCATTTTTCGACATAGTGGTTGCTGTTGGATCTGACCGATGGGCGTGGGGTGACTGGGGTTATGTGTAGGGGGCGGCCGACTTGTTGCAGAGATAAAGCAGTAGCGATGAGTTTGGTTTGCCAGTACGCGAACCTATGCATGTGCCTGGTACTTATTCAGTCGAAAGGAATGCCTACGACGTAAGCATACACATTGCAGCGCAATGAGACATATGCACAGTCATCCACAACGGCTTCCGGTATCCGGTACATACGTTTTGTGACCGAGTAGACAAGATGACGCCACAAAGAAGAGGATGGGACCATGAGAAATAACAGATACTCCTGGATCGGTTGTTCGTGTATGCAGGAGACTTTTGGTTAAGAGATTATCCCACCATATTTGAACCTAGCTCGTGTATGCAGTGATTACAACCCTGGTCCCGGTCCGCTGACCGGAGCGATTTCGGTGTGATGGAAATTATTTGGATGTAATCATTATCTAAGAACTTGTTGTAGGAATATGTCTCCTGGAACATTTGTTCGGCAGCTTTTTTCCGATTACATATCCATATTGCTGGCCAAGGTAGGTTTCGTCGATTAGATCTACGGCTCAAACTCCATAGAACAGCGCCCGACGGATCCTGTTTTAGTTCGGCGCTTATATGTGGCGAGATAATCCAGATCTGAGCTTTGGGGTCGGAATCCGTGCCCGACATGGCGTTTCCCGCTGAAGCCATCGCTAAAGAAGTGCATGTTAGTGAGAATGATAGAAGCTCAAGTATATAGAACGATGGAATAAAACTTAGAGTCAAAGTTGAAAAGGAAACAAAGACGTAAACACATAGAGGAAATAGATGCTTCCTCCAATCCTTCATTTACAATCTTTCTGTACACACCGAAACCTCAACTAAGAGCTATGTCTGCCAATCTACTCAATGGCGTCAACGGTGGAACTGCTGTTAATGGACACGGGACTACCAATGGGTATACCAATGTTCAAAGCAATGGTCAAGCCGACGGGAATGCTCCTGCCAATGGAACACATACCGGACACGCCAATGGTTACACATCCAGCGTGAACTCATCCGGCTTTCCTTCTACAGAGCCCATTGCCATCTGTGGCATGTCTGTACGCCTCCCAGGCGGCCTACACTCACCCAAAGACTTCTGGGACTTCCTCATCTCCAAGGGCGATGCCCGAGGACCTGTCCCGGAGTCCAGATACAAATCCTCATCCTTCTGGTCCGAGACCACCAAGCCCGGCACCGTCAAGACTCAGTATGGCTACTTTCTTGACGAGAGCATAGATATTGCCAGTGTTGACACCTCGTTCTTCACTATGCGTAAGGCTGAAGTTGAGCGTGCTGACCCTCAACAACGCCAGATGCTGGAGGTTGCGCGAGAGTGCCTTGAAGATGCTGGCATTGACTGGAAAGGTCGAGCAATTGGCTGCTATATGGGCAGTTTTGGTGAAGACTGGACCGAGATGTTTGCGAAAGAAACGCAGCAATATGGTTTATACCGTGTCACGGGATATGGAGACTTCATGTTGCCAAACCGTGTGTCTTACGAACTTGACCTGATGGGTCCCAGTCTTGTTGTGAGAACTGGATGCTCTGCAGCCCTCGTCGCACTCCACGAAGCATGCCTCGCTGTATCTCGTGGCGACTGTGAGGGAGCTCTTGTCGGTGGTGCTAATCTGATCATGGCACCTGGCATGACTATGGCAATGACTGAGCAGGGAGTCCTCGCCCCAGATGGGTCATGCAAGACCTTTTCCGCTGATGCAAACGGCTATGCTCGAGGAGAAGCAATCTCTGCTATTTTCATCAAACCCCTTTGTGACGCAATTCGCGATGGCAACCCTGTTAGAGCCGTCATTCGCTCCACAGCATCCAACAGTGACGGAAAGGGTACTGCTGGAGGTATCCAAGTTCCCAATGACATTGCTCAAGAAGCCATGATTCGAAAAGCGTATTCGATCGCCGGAATCAATGATTACTCTCAGACAGCCTTTGTCGAATTCCACGGAACTGGAACATCTATCGGAGATCCCATCGAGACAAGAGCTGTTGGGAGAGTCTTTGGGCCTTCTGGAGGTGTCATGATTGGATCTGTCAAGCCAAACCTCGGCCACTCTGAGGGAGCTTCAGGTCTCACATCATTGATCAAAGCAGTTCTGGCCCTGGAGAACCGCACTATTCCTCCCAATATCAAGTTCGGCGAGCCCAATCCTGATATTCCATGGGATGCTTGTGGACTCTCTGTTCCTACAGAGCCTCAGGAATGGCCTGGATCCAAACATGAGCGTGTCAGCGTCAACTCCTTTGGCATTGGCGGTACCAACGCTCATGTTATTCTGGATTCAGCACGCAGTTTCGACCTATCCCTTGCTGCGGAGCGAGCTACGACTTCATCCCAGCTTTTGGTCTTCTCGGCCAACGGACCTGGGTCACTTCGAACGATGATTGCCAACTACGAAGACTACGTGATGAGGAACCCAAAGAGAGTGAATGATCTTTCTTATACACTGGGTCATAAGCGCGAACACCTCACGCATCGTGCATTCGCAGTGGCCAGTCCTCTGGGTGGCCTCACCACATCCCCTGTCTCCAAGACTGGTCAGAAGCCGAACATTATCATGGTCTTCACTGGCCAAGGAGCTCAATGGCCCAGAATGGGGAGAGCTCTGATCCGAAGCTCTCAGTTTCCCATCTTCAGGGAGACTATTCAATCTCTGGACGCTCACCTTCAGACTCTTGAACGTGCTCCGGAGTGGAACATCGAGGAAGAGCTCCAGAAGTCTACCAAGACAAGCAGACTCAACTCAGCCGAATTGTCTCAACCCCTATGTACAGCGATACAGGTTGCTCTGCTTGACACTTTCGCTTCAATTGGCGTTCATCCTGCTGCTGTGGTAGGTCACTCAAGTGGTGAAGTCGCTGCGGCATATGCTGTTGGAGCTATCACAGCCAACGAAGCCATCACAGTCGCCTTTTACCGTGGTCTTGTCACCAAGCTCCAGACTAAGTCAGGTGCCATGGCAGCCATTGGAATGGGCTCCGAAGAGATCCAAGAGTACATGCAGCCTGGTGTTGTGATTGCCTGCGAGAATTCTCCTCACAGCGTTACTATTGCCGGTGATACTGAAGCAGTTAAGAACATGACCACCAAGGTCATCAAAGAGTCTCATCCGGATGTGATGGCACGGCTACTGCAGGTCGACATGGCGTACCATTCTCATCATATGACGGAAATTGGCACTGATTATTATGCTCTCATGCAGAACAAGATCTTTCCCAAGAAGCCTACCAAGCTATTTTTCAGCAGTGTCAAAGATGAGCTGCTTACCGAAGCTTCTGCCTTTGGTCCGCGATACTGGCAGCAAAACATGGAATCGAGAGTTCTGTTCAGCTCAGCTGTTTCATCAATCATTCAACATGATATTTCCAAGAATGCAGTGTTCTTAGAAGTTGGTCCTCATTCAGCCCTCGCTGGTCCCTTGCGACAGATCCAGGCCAAAAACTCAACTTCGTTGACCTACATCTCTGCCCTCGTCCGCCATGAGAACGACGTCGAATCTTTCTTGACATGTGTTGGAAAGCTTTTCACCGTTAACGCTGAAGTCAACTTGACCAAGGTTATCGCGAAGGGTTCCATCCTACCAGACCTACCAAGATACCCTTGGAATCACTCTGAGAGATACTGGTATGAGTCAAGGCTCAGCAAAGAATGGAGATACCGCGAGTACAAGTATCATGACCTTCTGGGAGTTCGAGTTCCAGAGAGTTTGGACTTTGAAATTCTCTTCCGCAACCTTTTCCATCTTGATAACGCTCCTTGGATCCGTGATCACAGGGTTGGCGATGACATTGTCTTTCCATTTGCTGGCTATGCTGGTATGATGGGTGAAGCTGTAAGACAAGTCACCCATGTCGATGAAGCTTTCAAGCTCCGCAACGTTATTGTCAGCACTGCACTTGTATTGAACGAAGGCAAGCCCGTTGAGATCATGACTACACTTCATCGCAAGCGTTTGACCAACAATCTCGACAGTGAGTGGTGGGAGGTTACCATTGCATCTTACAACGGAGCTGTGTGGACGAAGCATTGCTCAGGAGAGGCTAGGTCATTCGGTGAAAGCCTTGGGGATGCAGAAACCAAGGCACCATTCCTTCGCAAGGTCGGGACTCGTCGATGCTATGAGTCAATGGCCAGGTCAGGCCTGAACTTTGGACCCGAGTTCCAGCGCCTTGATCAGATCAAAGCCGATACACAGGAGCAGAGAGCAGATGCCAAGGTCGCTGCCAAGGATGGAGACAACGTTGACTACCATCTTCATCCCACTATCATTGACGCAACTCTTCAGCTTCTTAGTGTCGCTGCATCTCAAGGTTTTGCTGAACCGTCTGACAAGACCATGGTTCCGACTCACATAGATGAGATGTGCATCTATCGCTCTGCAATCGCTGGCGATGTTGATATCCAAGCAAGCGCATCCTACACTGCCAGTCGCTCTATCACCGGTAGTGGACAGGCTGTCGATGCCCAAGGCCAGCTTATCTTCCGAAGCTCTGGTATCAAGTTGTCCATTGTCGAAGGACAAAGTGGCGATAGCCCTGTTGAGCCTACTGCTCATACTGAATGGGCCCCCCACATTGATTTCTTGGACACCAAAACACTCATCAAGACTAAAGTTGATCGCAGTGAGCATATGCCTGACTTGACTGAGTTGTCTCATTTGTGTATGGTTCACAGCAAGCGCGTCATTGCCAATTTGGATACAAATATTGAGTACATGCATAAATACCGTTCATGGATCAATCGTCAGATTCAATCTCAAAATCTTGGTTATCTTGAGTCTCTGAGTGATGACGAGATAAGGCAAAGAGTCAAGGGCCTCACTGACAAATTGATGCAAACCTCGGCTATCGACGCTGCAGTGGCCATCACCAAGATCTTCAGTTATGTCGCCAGCATTTTCACGGGCGACGTGGACGCACTTGAGCTGCTGCTCGCAAATGACACGCTCAACAACCTGTACGTCTTCATGGACCAATGTGACGAGTCGCAGTTTTTGCAGTACTTAGCACATAGCAAGCCTAATCTCCGCGTTCTCGAGATTGGTGCCGGCACCGGTGGCTCTACTGCCCAGCTGTTGGAGCATTTAGCTCCATCTGGTAAGGTGCAGTATTCCAACTATACCTTTACCGACATCTCATCGGGTTTCTTTGTTGAAGCCAAAGAGCGTTTTAAGGGGTTTCCAAACATGGAGTTCGCGACCCTAGACATCAGCAAAGACTTAGCTGAGCAAGGCTTTGATGGGTGCAAATACGACCTCATCTTGGCTACCAACGTCATCCATGCGACCAAGTCTCTTAACGAAAGTTTGAAGAACGTCCATCAGCTCTTGGGTCCCAACGGCAGGTTTCTTCTCCACGAGTTGACTCCAACATCTAAATGGGTCAACTACGTCTGGGGTACCCTTGCAGGATGGTGGTATGGTGAGCAAGATGGTCGACCTGATGAACCATACATCAGCATTCAACGCTGGGAGCAAGAGCTTCAGACTGCTGGGTTCCGAGTTCCAGATGCGGCTGTGCTTGACTCCGCTCAGCCACATCAGCTGAATGCCATGATCGTTGCAAGGCCAGCCACTGATAACAGCCGTGACAAGCGAGTCACCCTTCTCACACTTTCTCATTATGAGACCAAGAGTGAAACAGCCCTTCGCCAGACTCTCGAAGGAAGGGGCTATGTCGTCCAACGATCCGTCTTTTCCGACTTATGTGTTCCCAATGGGCAAGACATCATCACAGTCCTTGATGACGAGCAGCCATTCTTTGAGAATCTCGAAGAGCGTAGATTCGAATCATTCAAGACTTTGGCTGGTAACTTGAAGGATGCAGGGATTCTCTGGATCACACACTTGTCACAGCTTCATTGTTCAGACCCTCGATTTGGGCAGGTCCTCGGCATTTCCAGAACTCTCCGATCTGAGATGCTTTTGGACTTTGCTACTTGCGAAGTCGACAACATACAATCGTCGTCAGACAGGATAGTTGATGTGTTTGAGAGATTCCAGCTTCGCCAGGAAGATGACACCTTGAAGCCTGACTATGAGTATTCTGTTATTGAAAACACGGTTTACGTGGGGCGCATGCATCCATTCTCGGCCCAGGCCAACCTTTTGGTCCCCAGCGAGGATGACCCTGTTGCTCTTCGAACAAGCAAGCCTGGCAGACTGGATGCTCTGCACTGGGCTGGTTATCAAGCCCCGGGTCTCAAGGACGACGATGTCGAAATCAAAGTCCAGGCCGCAGGCTTGAACTTTAAGGACGTGCTCTGCGCCATGGGTATTGTTGAAGGTTCTAACGGCTTTGGCCTTGAAGGTGCTGGTATTGTAGGTCGGGTTGGCCCCAAGGTCACCGGCCTCAAGAAGGGAGACCGAATTATGTTCATTTCGCATTCTGCATTCTCTACACAGGTTGTTGTGTCTGAGAATCTTTGTGAGAAGATCCCTGATGACCTCAGCTTTGAGGATGCGGCAACGATGCCTTGCGTTTTTGCGACGTCGTACTATTCCATCTTCAATATCGGAAACCTCAAGAAGGGCCAAGCAAGTTATACACGAATCGTTTTCTAAGCATTTTCGCTAACTCCTTTAGTCCATCCTCGTTCACAGCGCATGTGGTGGTGTCGGCATTTCTACCATCCAGCTGGCTCGGATGGCTGGCGCAACCATATACGCAACAGTCAGCAACGAAGAGAAGATTCAATATCTCGAAGAGAACTTTAGCCTTGACCGAAGCTGCATTTTCAACTCCCGCAATGACTCTTTTGTCGAAGAGATCATGCTGAAGACGGGTGGCAAGGGCGTTGACTTGGCGCTCAATTCGCTATCGGGCGAGCTTCTTCATGCAACTTGGAAGTGTATCGCACCATTTGGGAAGATGGTTGAGATTGGCAAGAGAGATTTAATTGGCGCTGGAAAGCTCGATATGAGTATCTTTGAAGATAATCGCAGTTACTCTTGTGTCGACCTGGATCAGCTCTGTTTCCAGCGGGGAGAAATTGCGAAAGAGTGAGCAAGATAAGTATGAACAGTGATACGGATTGCTGATATGTTGTCAGGCTACTCAAGAGCGTTATTGACTTGTACGAGAAGCGCTTCATTCACCCGATTCGACCTATCAAGGTATACAACTCTCGAGAGATCCTTGATAGCTTCAGGTACATGCAACAAGGTGTTCATCTCGGCAAGATTGTCGTGTCAATGGATGCTGCCTCGAGCGACAACTTGAAGATTCAACCTCGAAAAGAACCGGTTCGCTTCGGTAGCTCAGGCTCTTACCTTCTCGTTGGTGGCCTCGGTGGCTTGGGTCGATCAATCTCGACTTGGATGGTCCAGCGGGGAGCTCGCCATCTCATCTACCTTTCTCGTAGTGCGGGTACACAGCAGAAGCATCTCGATCTGGCTCAAGAACTGGAAAGCTACGGATGCCGTGTTGACTTTGTCCAAGGAAGCATCAACAGTCTCGAGGATGTGACTGTCGCAGTATCTCGGGCTAACGGCCATCTCAAGGGCATACTTCAGATGTCCATGGTTCTTTGTGACCAAAGCTTTGACAAGATGACGATAAAGGAGTGGAATACAGTTGTCAATCCTAAGGTTAAGGGGACATGGAACTTGCACAACGCGTCTCTTTCAGTCAATGCTGAGCTTGATTTCTTTATCCTCTTCAGTTCTCTTTCTGGTGTTATTGGACAGCCAGGTCAGGCCAACTACGCTGGAGCGAACACCTTCCTCGACTCCTTCTCTCAGTATCGTGCCAACCTGGGCCTACCAGCCTGCGCCATCCAGATTGGTGCTGTCGAAGAGGTTGGCTACATGGCCGAACACCAGGGTATCATGCAGAAGCTGAAGGCTTCAGGCGGTTCAGATGGAACTGTCTCGGAGGGGGAACTTCTCGACGCCCTAGGTGCAGCTATGACCAACAAGGCGAGCAGCTTCTGCCTTGGACTGCGTCACAATGTTTCTTTGAGCGACCCATCGAACCGGTCTTTGTGGAAGAAGGATATCCGCATGGCAGTGTTCCATAATAAGAACAACGTCACGGGTGCAGCTAATACAGCTACGAATGACGAGCTCAAGTCTTTCATCACCAAGGCCAAGAAAGACTCGTCTGTACTGCACCAGGCAGACACAGCACACTTCCTGGCTATAGAGATTGGTAAGAAGGTTTTCAGCTTCTTGCTTAAGCCTGTGGAGGACCTTGAAACTTCTTGTTCCCTGTCTGATCTGGGAATGGATTCATTGGTAGCGATTGAAGTCCGACAGTGGTGGAAGACTGTTTTCCAGTTTGACATTAGTGTCCTTGAGATGATGGGAATGGGGACGCTGGACGTCCTTGGAGAGCATGCTGTGAAGGGTATGTTGCGAGTTTTTCATAGTGATATTCAGTCTAGCTAGAGTTTTATGTATACTGATGTTGGGTATTTTGATTACAATGCGGTTTATAGGTTTTTTAGGATAAAAGCGCTTTAAGAGTAAATTCCTTCCTATAACACTCTATACAGTAGTTTAATGTAGTGTAAACATTTAACTGATTTATATCATACTGTAATAAGAATATGCATTCATCTTAGTTCTGGTAACTACAGAGTAGTAATGTCATGCATCAACAAACCCATCTTCAATCCACGTGCAGTTTGTATCCCATGACCAATCTTGACAGAGCATGTTCAATACATCATCCACCTCCAATCCATCTGCCCATAAACATGAATCCTGACCCAAGCACTCACTGTCGTTCATGTCCAGTTCATTGGAAGACTGTTCTCCTTGGCGCATCAAATCGCAACTTGTTTTAAAGATTTGGCTCACAACTCCCCGACTACAACGTGCGGTCAATGACCAATTCTGCATCTCCTCAAAGAGCCTCAAAGCTGTCTGTACCTGGGAACTCCACTCAGGAACAGCAGCACTCTGAGGCTTCCATAGCATGCTCAGTAGTGGTATCATGGCGGCCTGGTAAAGGAACCATACTGCGTTCCATCCTGACATCTGATGGCTCAGCCACGTCTTGGCTATGTCTTCAATGGTTGTCTTTGAAAGCTGCTGGCACTTCTCGATAGCGACGTGGTCAACCTCTTGGTCCGTTTGATGGTTAGTCGTCGCATCTAAAAGTGCTGGGCGATATAGAAGCATGCGCAAGTTCCAGTATCGCCATCTCATAATGCACCGAGCAAGATGAACCGGTTCATCACAGTCTCGGTCATTAGAAAGGATAGAAGGTAGATGAATATGCCAATTGATCAATGCCTCATCGAAACGATCACGATTATCAGCATTGAGAACAGGAGTTACAGCTAGGCTATCCTGTATCTCAGTTGCAATCATGCAAAAGCGAATGTTCTCAACAAGTGTTGTCATTCCCATGTCTTGCTGAAACCTTTCTTCACCTTCAATCCCGAGCTTCGGGAATTGAACGTCAATGGACGGAGAGAAACGGCCAAACGAGGGACGGCCTAGGGTCGTTGTCGTCCAAGTGTCAAGACAAACCAAAGACCACCATGTACGTCGCCTCACTTCTGCTGCTTCATACTGATCGCCGTCTCCGTCCTGATATGAAGGCTCTCGATGAAAACCAAGGGCACTCGCCATTCGAAAGGCTGCACCAAGAATAGCATTGCCTCGATTAGGTCGGTTGATGTAGTGAAGATAGTAACCCCCAGCAAGAGCAAGGGCCTGTAGCGTCTCGATGTGACTGCTGCCAAATGCGCCAAGGTCGAGGTGTCTCATGGCCTCGGTGTAGTACTTGCAATGATCCCGATCACTCGACTTGCTAGAGACGATACTGCCCATGGCCAAGACCATATTCAAGAGAGCAAGCCAGGGCGGATCCTGACGTTGACTACCAAGGTAATCTGTCCTAAATGAGGTTTCATCGAGCATTGGGGTAAAGATATGGATCCGCTGGAAGTACGCATCAACTAGTGCTTGTCCCTTGCTGCTCCATTTTATGCGAGGACATTCTAACAGGGCCCTGGAGGGATGGTAGCAAGGCCGAATCTCATCGTTTCTGGCAATGTCGTTATGAATATTTGCCTGACGAGAGGCTAGCAAGCCACGTAACTGAGGCCGAACCTGGAGCATCGCTGCAAGCGCCGCTCTGATGGATGAAATGCCGAGATATGATGCCTGTCGGTCAAACGGCAGGGACAATGCGTTGACATCATCAGCTTCCGCGGGCAAGGGGTCTCGCTCACGTCTTTCTTCGTCCCACTGTGAGTCTTGAGTAACAGACCTTTGAGGGGTGCTATCTGAAGGAGACGGCAAGATTTTATCAGTCGAACATCCATGTAACACGGCCTCACGAAGTTGCTGGTCTGATAACGAGGCCAACTGCGGAATACTGTGATTTGGGAAAAGGCGGTTCAAGATGGCATCGCGTTCTTTGAGACTTTTGGATAAGGTCTCAAGTGTTCTGTCACAATCGTTAGAGTTTTCTCATAGGTAGCATGACTCTTTTCAATTGAGTCAAGGACGAACCTCTTTGTAGGCATAACTCGTTGAACCTGTTGGGTGTAGACGCATCTCGACTGTAAATCCCTCGACTCGCATTGGTTACACGGTTTTCGGCCGTCGCAGCGAATCTTTCGCCGCTTGCAGTTGCCGCATGCGTGCAGACCTCGAGTGGGCTTTGACGCTTTAAGAGTGCCCGAGTCCGAGGATTCAACGGTGCCCTGGACTTGTGAAACACAAGAGTCAGTCGAGGATCATGATCAAAGACAACCAAACTCACAGGTACAGAACATAGCGAGCGCCGATGCGGGACAGGTTTGGGTCTTTTACTTGCAAAAGTTCAATATAACAAAGGTGGAGGTGAAGCTGCCAGCCTAGATTCGAGGAGATCGCAAATATCAGTCATGAAGTGGCAAGATTGCATGTCTTACGAGCGTGGTCCAATCTCATCGCACACACGTGGTACAAATGCGGAGTGCGGCGTATTGTGCTCCGTATCTGGGGTGATTGTGAAAATCTGGGGAAAAAAGGTGCACATGGACTGAGCTCCGTGTGCGGTCAAAGCTAACCTGAACAGGAGCGGCGTGAGAGCATCCGCGTCTAGATTTGGACTAGTCATCGATCAATAGCCTCGGTTATAGCATAGATCTGCATCAGCGGGCCATTTACCTACCCGAGAGCATTAAGTTTGATACATGCATACAATGTAAAATGCCGTTTGTGGCGATGTGGTTTCCTGGTCAGATCATATATCGAGATCACTTGACATCAAATTTACAGGTAACCAGAATCCCTGTAAATTTTCACATCCAAGATATCTATCCCTTAGTGAGCTACAAGTACTTATGCATATTGATACGCAAGGATATTGTCACAGCATTAGATCTTCGCAACTTCAATGCTGCTCCCTCATTATCCTCGTTGATTCTCTTCTTCTGTGTGTATGTCTCTGCCGTGCTGTGGGCCACAAGTTGATGATTGACCCTGCACACTTGAGACACCTGTTATGTCTTCTTTCATTCAGCCGACACATATTCATGGAAGATTACAGGGCTTTCCAGCACAGTTAACACCTCCATGCAAGCAAGCACGTCGCGTATCCCCAAAGTCTTCAAACTGCTGCATCGTAACCTGAGCTTTATAGAGATCATCGTCAGCATTATGTATTTCCCTACGAGGCATAGAAGGAACTCACGATTCCACTTGAACTCGCCATACTCATACTTGAAAACTTGACCATGCAGTGTTGGGAAGTCATTGCTGAGGATGACGTAATAATCCTCGTCGTCTACGTCCCCGAAAAGGCTGTTTGGCCTGTTTCCTTGGCCATTGAACTGGCGCTGTTTTTGGCCGTCTTTCCAAACAGCCTAGGTGTACTTTTGGGCTTTGATATCTTCTTTCGTTGTAAAGGTTACGCAGGCGTGAGACTGGAGAGCGAGGGCGAGCGTGCCGAGGATGGAAGTAGTCTTCATGATGAATAATGGAATGGACTTACTAGATATTGTAAAATCTGTCAGGCTGGTGTTGAAGGCTGGGGATTTGAGCAAGGACGGTTATGTTTTGTAGTCCTTGTCACAATGTTGAATACTAATCTTGATATTATTCGAGAACCTAGTGCTGACTGATATAATTCAAAGGATTCAACAAAGGCTTACAGGGATATATATATATGCCGTGTTTTCCGTCTATATAGTGAGGCCTTTGCAGGATATTGACGAAGTCTTACCAGTCAGCTGACATGCAGCATCCTTAGACTCTTAAAATTACCTGATATGGTAAGCGAGGTGACATCCAGGAAATCGGAGGTTTCTACAAGTGGACTTGGCACAACCCCCAAAGGGGATACATTGGTCCTTTGTGCATGTAGTACGGGAGCAGACTGTCTTTCCATCCCCGTTAGCACTGACATAGGCCGAGGCGAATCAGAACGAAGCGACGGTCATGCCCAACCAAACAACGGTGCATGCATGTAAGAAGAACAAGAGAAGGTGACGACATTCGATCTTGTTGACGAGGCAAGCGCCGAGAATGTGCTAGAGGAATCGCTGGCAAAAGCAGAGCAGTGAGATAGCGCCCTGCTCGACCGTTTCGATGTAACCAGCCGTCTCAAAGACTGCAACGAGAAACTAGGAAAGGACTACATTGCCTGCCTATTGACTGATTGATGAGAATCTCTTCTATATTACGTATGCTTATGCACAAGAAACCATGAATTTCACCTTCGACATCTTTATACCATACGCTTCTACACTTAGCGCAGAAGTACTTCCTCAACGGGTCTCTCTTGATCCATAGCCTCTCCAAACATTAACCCATCGACATAACACCAGCTGACAAGAGTCCATGTCTGCACGGGAAGAGATCTCATCTCTTCATCAGCTGTCAATGGGTCAGGTCGCAGCACAAGAGGTACTCGACAGCCCGGAACTGCGTACACAACATCTCCTTGCATGGTAGGTTCTGGCCCGATACCAAAGAAACCTCGGCTGGTTGCGAATGCCTTCATTGTGTCTATACGAGTCCTGATTATACGGTGGTGCAAATTGGACTCGATTTTGTGGAGATCCTTTTGTCGCGAGTTCGACTGTAGCCACTGTAGCCACTCGTTAAAATGCCGACGGTGTTCATCCCATCCTGGCATACCGACTCTCAGTGGGTTGTCGTCGATATTGAGACCCATAATGAGAGACTCAGCTAATCTGTCCATCCACGCTTCCCTGGAAAGGTTGCCTGCTAGCCGTGATCTCAGGGCTAAGACAGATTTGACTGCTGCCCGCTGCTGCTCTACAACCCAAGAAGCGAATGGAGGGCAGATGACGTCTATTGTATCGAGTTGCTTGACTTGAAGTCGAAGCCGACGTGGTGATTCAGCGTCGATCTTTGGTGGTGTGTTCAAGCGTCCGCCCGCATCCCAGCCTGCACTGTCACAAAGAACAAGTGGCTCATCGTAGGCATGGCATCGAAGATCGGGGGCCCAGGTGGGTATCCTGGAATGTTGCCGCATATATCCCATCCACGATAGGGCTAGAAGATCAAGGGAATCTCCATTGCAGAGAAGTGCTTCGGCTGTTTCCACAAACACTTGCTCTTCAGTGATTCTGTAATTAGCTTTCGGGACCGGTCGGCTATCTGCAATACCGTGGAAAGCAAAGACCTTGTCGCAGGTCCTTGTGGCCTGGCAATGATATGCAGCCTGAAGAAGAGTCTCATAGCATACTCCACTTTCTCCCTGATTAATCTTCTTCTGGTATTCTTCTCGTATACCAAGCATCCTGGTTACACACCAGAATCCAAGGATGGCTGGATGATCGTCTTCATAACGGCCCAAGCCAGTAAATGAGTTCCAAATGGCAGAAACACCATCTGAAAAGTGGCTCAGATCTACGCAGTCCTCACCACAAACCACGTGGATGTTCCTTCCGGCAACAACCTCTTGAATAACCCACACCCGTTGGAACCACGGGCGTTGGAGGAGAAGCAACATGCTCTCTAGGCCATGCTCTCTAGGCCATGCTCATCATTTTCTTGTCGAGAGGGTTGTGAGACTTTGCGGTATAAACTCCGAAATCTATCATAAAAAGAGCTTGATCTGACCAATGGTTCTGGTCTAGACTCGACGTCGTTTTCTTCTTGTTTCATGAAGCGAAATGCATTTTTGGTAATATCATCACTGTTGCCTAGCCAAACCAAGACTTCCGTAGAGCGTGAATAAATCTTTCCCATGAGGGGAACTTGAAACTCCTTCTCCGTTGTGTCTTCCTGGTTGATACAAATGGCATCGATCCACACAGTGAACTTGGAGGATTTCTGCTTCAGAGAGTTAAAGAGATCAAGCAATGTCTGGCTAAGTGGGAGGGAGTCGCCATTTTGAAACTTAATCTTCGCTATGTCTGTTGAATTATCCCAGCAGTAGGAAACAGCGGTGTAGTCTGGAGGGTTCTCTAGAGGCACGACCCTGAAGTTGCAGATAGGTTCAGAATGCTCTCCATTTATGCTGACATCCAAGATCCGGATATAATCCCCAGAGAGAGGGGGGTATGCAATATTCATAACGATTTGGCTAAAGGCAGAGCCATCAGGATATAGCCAGAAACGAAAGAGCGGGGAGGAATGATTTGTGGGGGCGAACGAAAGGATAATCTTAGCCTTTTTGGAACTAGGAGAGTGGATTGGCTGTTGGTGCAATTGTTCTGTGGGGGGGTATCGGGTGAATAGTCTGGACCAAGGCCTAAATCGGAGACGGAAGAGCTCGTTCCGCGGCTCATTAATGCCTACGTCCCGTATCGAAATTCGGAAACTAGCACGGAGATTGGTGGCACCGGTCAGAAGCGATCATATCCATAACTACAGCCAAAAATGAAAACCATTAAAAGCAGCTTATAAACAAACTTATCACAAGATATCATCATTCCTAACTTCTAAGTTTATTGCCGCGCTTTGAATACTAGAGATCATTTATACATCTTTTGTACTGGTCTTTATCGACAAACGAATCCGGCCTGTCATACACTGCCCTGATCATGATGCCTCCAATTGCACAAAGAACGCTGCTTGAAAAGGGATGGTCATTCAAGAAAGCAACAGATGGCCATGATGCTTGGAAGCCTGTGGCCAGAGTGCCAACGGTTGCCCACATTGACTTGATTGAAAACGGAATGTTAGTACACAACGTTCTACACCCTCCCAGGTGCTAATCGATGACCTATCTAGCATCCCTGACCCATTTCTCGATATGAATGAGCTCCAAGTTGAGTGGGTTGGAGAGACGGCTTGGACTTACCGCACTACTTTTGACTCGCCGTCTGCCAACAGTAGATCAGTGTATCTTATCTTTGAGGGTCTTGATACCTTTGCTCAAGTCAAGCTCAACGATATCGTCATACTCGAGAGCGACAATATGTTTCTCAGCCACCGTGTGGATATCACTAACAAGCTTTGCAACGAGGGCACCAATTTGTTGTCCATCGACTTTGACAGCGCACTACTCAAGGCCAGGGAGATCACAAAGCAATATCCTGATCATCGATGGGAGCTCTTCAATGGAGAGGCTGGACGCTTGGTTGTAAGGAAAGCTCAATATCACTGGGTATGTATAATGAATGCCCGACAAGAAACCTTTTGCTCAACAAATACGCAGGGATGGGACTGGGGTCCAGTGCTTAACACCGCCGGTCCATGGAAGCCAGTCTGGCTTGAAGTGTCATCTGCCCACATAAATAACTTCCTCATCAATTACAGTGTTTCCCCAGACCTCGAAACGGTTCAAGGTACGGTGGAAATCGACGTTGAAGGGCATCATGACACGGCAAATGTCTCTATCCGCTTTCAAGACAATGTCGTTTGCGATACTGCAGCAGCCAAGTCTTCCAGCGGCCGTCTGGTTGTCCCTTTTGCTATAGGTACTCAGCCATATATGTGACTCTAAGAGTAACATACTAACAGCCGCTAACTAGATCACCCCAAGCTGTGGTATCCTGCTGGATACGGTCACCAGTCTCAGTACACCGTGAGTGTCAGCATCGTCAAAGATGGTCAGAAACTGGATGCAAAGACCAAGAAGACTGGCTTCCGGAGAAGCGAACTTGTGCAAAAGGGAGACTCTCACGGGAAATCGTTCTTTTTCAGAATCAACAATATCGACGTCTTCTCCGGTGGCTCGTGCTGGATTCCGGCCGATAACTTTCTACCTCGAATCACTGCTTCCAAGTACCGAGACTGGTTGAAGCTTATGATAGAAGGTAATCAGATCATGACGAGGTGAGGGGACATCGATGAGTCTTTTCTCTTTGCACAAAATTACTGACACAATTTGATTCAGAGTTTGGGGCGGCGGCATCTACGAGGACGATGCTTTCTATGACTGCTGCGATGACATGGGCATTCTTGTGTGGCAGGACTTCATGTTTGGCTGTGGAAACTATCCTGTAGGGCCAGAACTCATCCGATCGGTTCGCGAGGAGGCAGTGCAGAACGTCAGTAGACTGCATCACCACCCTTCTGTCGTGATATATGCCGGCAACAATGAGGATTACCAGGTTCAAGAGCAGGCAGGTCTCGAGTACAATCCAGACGACAAGGATCCTTCTTCTTGGCTCAAGTCTTCTTTTCCTGCTCGGTACTACTATGAGCATCTCTTACCAGAGGTAGTCAGTGAGGTATCTCCAGGGATGACATACTGGCCTGGATCACCATTCTCTGGAGGCAAAGACACTACAGACAAGACTACCGGAGATCTCCATCAATGGAACGGTAAGTGGCTGGTTGTATCTTCTCTTCCTTCCTTTACTGACATCTTCACAGTTTGGCATGGTACGCAGGAGAAATACCAGGTCTTTGACAGGCTGGGTGGCAGGTTCAACAGCGAGTTCGGTATGGAAGCCTTCCCGGCCTTGTCGACGATTAAGCACTGCATCACTGAAGAGTGCGACCGTTTTCCGCAGTCTCAGATGATGGATTTCCATAATAAGGCAGATGGTCACGAACGACGCATCGCTACTTATGTGGTCGAGAACTTTCGCCCTCTTCCAGATCTAGAGGTAAATTACTCCCCCTTCAGAAGCAGATCTCTCTTTTACTGACCCCTCACCAGTCTCACATATACTTGACGCAGCTTTGCCAGAGCGAAGCCATGACTTTTGCGTACCGCAGCTGGCGTCGCCAATGGGGAGACGATCGTAGATGCGGCGGTGTTCTCGTCTGGCAGATGAACGATTGCTGGCCCGCCATCTCATGGTCCATCGTTGATTACTTTCTCACAAAGAAGCCAGCATATTACTCCATTCGTCGAGCCCTCAAGCCCATCGCTGCGGGTGTTCAACGACAACACCACGACTGGAGTGTCGTTCATGCAAGGCCAGCGAAGGCTTCTTCATTTGAAGTTTGGGTTGCAAGCAACAAGCAGGAGGAGATTACTGTCACTGTTGAAATTCGCTTCATTTCGATCAAGACTGGCAGTGATATCAGGGATAAAGTCGTCAAGGCCAACACGGTTTTGATCCCGAATGGGACGACTGACATCCTGACTGGACAGATTGACAATGTAAAGGATGAGCCACATGTCATATCTGTGCGTGTTTTTCAGGGCGACACTTGTGTCTCACAAGACGTTGATTGGCCTCAACCTCTCAAGTATCTTGACTTCTCCGACAGAGGTGTTGAGGTTCAGGTTGGGCCAGATGGGTATCAACTCACGGCCAACAAACCCACCAAGGGCCTAGTCTTTGAAGAGCTTCCCGGTATCTCCCTAGAAGACAATTGCATAGACCTGATGCCTGGCGAAGTTGCTACTGTAAAGGTCAAGGGAGGCGTGATGTTATCTGGAGTCCCAAAATACAGATACCTACGTTGATAGAACGGGTGGAGCGAGAATACCAGTTAGAATTACGCAACACTCTCTGGTTTACCTAGATAGCTTTAAACCTTGGATAGACTGAATCCTAACAACATAAATTTTAGTTTTAGCTTTACTCTCGTTTATTGGGAACAGCGTTCAGTCAGAGAGTGTATGCAACAAAGATGCCCTTATCCTTAATGCCGTTTTTAAAGTCACACCTCAAGCTTGTCTCAGAGTCTGCAAGTTCCTTCTATAACCAAGAGTCCTGGAATGTAGAGCATAACACATCCACAACGTTAATTGCCACGAAACCCCGATCATCACCATTGGCAATATTCTTCTCGAGTTTTACCAAAAGCGCTGCATCAGGCGACTTTTACACTCAGGGGGGAAAGGTGATCGAACATACGGTCGACCAGAAACCGAGCGGCCTTTTTGCCTCTGTACGTACAATCCAACAAAGGAACCTGTTTAAGGCCCAAGGACGCAAGGTCCATCACCTTGATATCCGGTTTAGCAACCATCATCCAGTCCCTGGCCCGGATATTCCCATGGGTCGCGGTCTAATAGAGCCAACCCATCTACTACAATCTCGCCTTGATTAGCTCGGAGTCCTTGACCCATTTGCCACCAATTGGACGTCCTCCACGCAAACCCGTCAATGCGATACCATCTTCGACAGGAGCGAACAATGGCAGTCCTGTTTGTGTAATGCCATAGTCACGAATCACCGCTTGACCTCGTGGCGACACAAGGTACAAGAAGAAATCACGTACGTGATTCGTCACCGAGAGATCCGCCTCTTTAATCACTGGTGAGAATGAGGCATAGCAACTGTTCATCAGAATGTGCCTTGGTCGAGTTGGTTCGAAGAAGATTGTACAGTTGGAAATGGTGCCAAGTCCAGTCTGTCGCAAGACCGTTGACCGATCAGTCAGGAAGTAGGCGCCTGCGACATCAGCCTCCTTGAGAGCTTCTGATGGCGATAGCAAGCTTGTCTTGTACCAGGATGATGTTGTCGCTTGGTCTTCCCACGGCTTTCGGCCGACCAAAGACCAAATTTCGCGTTCTTTCCACATAGTGGCAGAATGGTCGGCACGGCTGTGGAACAAGCAGCCTGAGGCAGCGATCTTCTCAAAGGCATCAGTTATAGATGCTGCAGATGTCAGTCCCGCAGGGTCTGATAGGGGCCCTGCTAGGCAGAAGTGGTCGTGGAATACGCATCCAGCCGTATATGACCATCCCTCAGCCTGGGCTAGGGCTTCTTGGTCGCGTTCATAAGTCAAAGCGAAGTCAATGAAGCCATTGAGTAACGCCAGCTGTGTATTGCGGGAGTGGTTACATATCCACTCAATCAGGCCATCTTTGCCTCGAGACTTTAAATAGTCTTGGGCAAGTTCTTTGACCAAGCCAGTGGCACCTGCACCACCATTCCTACATGAATGACAATTGTCAGTAATTTGTCAGACAAAGGATCAGATGGATACCTAGGTAGCTGAACGAGGAGGAGGGGGGAAGAAATCGCTGTCCGACCAAAGTCTGACATACCCGATTCGAAGCAATACCTCTCCAGCTTCGCCATATTGTTCAAGAGGATTTGCATCAATCTCTCCGTGCGAGACAATGGCAGTCGGGCGTGATGATGTCATGACGTCAGTTCCAAAAAAACGAACAATGTTGCGTTGATTTTTGACAGGGCCAGTCGTTTGGGCGGCAATAAAGTCACTGTGATTATTAAAGATGTTTTGCGATAGTTTATCGTTTCATGAAAATGAGCTACCAGGCATTCTCGCCGATTGAGTTGGCCATTATGACGGTAAACGAAGTGGGAGATTATCATATTCCTCAGTAGCCTATAGCCTAGCCCCGCATTAGTAACTAAATTGGTGACCACCAACACTTCCCGGCATAGTAACCTCGGGCAATTGCCGCCACGGCAATTGACGGCAATTGAGTGAAGACTTGTGGTCAAGAGCTTGAATTAATAGAGAGAACTTGGAACTGTCTATTAGTTTTTACTCTGCCTCTGGCTTTGGCTTGCTTAACCTATACATCAAACCGATTGCTTTTTGAAGCCACTTAGTACCTATTCAATAATTATCTACTGTTGAAGTATGGAGTCTGTATATATTGTTGAGAATGCGTAGGGATATATTGCGCATATGGACGTGGCTTTAATGTTGAAATATATATATATATATATTAGACTAAGATGTATAGATACTTATTTAAGAGTCCTGTAAACTTTTGGCAATACATAAGTAACATTTATCTTCTCGAGGTGATTGAGTTTACTTACCCTATATACTAAGCGCCCAAAACTAGTCTATAATTAGCACTTCTCCACTACAACCCCTGTGCAGCATCACAAACCCATCGTAATTGGACAGTGTCGCCCCTTTTTAGCGCGTCAGTCAGATTCTCCAGCCATCGCGTTATGGGAACCGACGCTGGGCATCAAGAAAAACCCAAGTCCTGGAGACCTCACAAGCACCTTGATCGGACTATTCTCGATAAGACACAAGACACAAAATATATCCCTTGAAATGTCCTCAACAGGTGTACCAGACCCAAGTTCTGGTGGAAGCAGTGACGACAACACGGAGCTCATTATTGCCGTGGTTGCGCTGGTCATCTCCGTCTTGGCCTTTGTCATCGCGATTCTGCAGGCTCTGCAGCAGTATCTCGCCACAGCCACCGGTTTCTCGTCATGCAGTGAGGCTGTCATAGGAAAATGGGCTCAATTTGCTCGGCGCCGGATGATCTGGTCCGAGTTCCGTTTCGAGGTCCAGTTTGAGGCTCCTGTCATTTTCGTCGCTAAGCCCGGCAACACCAGGGGACCACTGGGTGATGATGCCCTGGCCAAGGACGAAAGCAAAAAGATCATTCGCCTCGATGGCGGAAACGACAATTTCAAGTACACAGATACTGTCAAGGAATTCGACAACGAGTACAAGCAGAGCACGCAGCGCATCATTCACACGGCTGATAACGAAAAGGCTACCTGGTATGGCTTGCTCATGGCTATTGTCAGGATGGAGAAAGAATCTCGCGAGTGGCAGGGCAAGAAGTCAGCCGAGTGGGTTAAAGCGGCTGGTCCACGCCCACCAATCGATACTGAAGAGCCTAATGCTCATCACTCGCTAGTTGTCTGCATGCAGAGAAAGAGGCGTACGTGGGATAGCATGCCCAAAGACTTTGCTAAACCTTATGCCACAACTACAATATCGCATCTTGTTGAGATTGCAGGAATGCTGGGCATTCATTGGAGGAAATTTGATCTCAATACCGACCAGTATCGCGGTCAGGGCAACGGGTTTGTTCTATATGGCTCATACACGGATGGTCTTGGTATCACCTTTAACTTTCAGAAGCAAGGACCAACCTGGTTCGAAAAGAACCGTGTGATCCCTAACTACAATGTCAAGCAGCTATGCTTCGGAATGGCCCCGACTATCTTCAACCAGGAGAAGAAAGTCTATGCCGACGAGGCCAAGGGAGCTGAGAGTCTTCAGCTGGGAAGTCTGGCTGAGATTGCAAAGACGCTCGTGGTGCTTGGGTGTGATATCAACACAGTCAACTACTTCCGAAAGCCTGACCAAGCACGCCACACTCACCTGTTTGCGGGTAAGTTGCCCTTTATCGGGTTGATCGAAGATAAAGCTGACCTTGAATAGTTCCATTCGAGATCCTCGGCATGGTCGGAGAAATGCTTCATTTGAAGGGCACCGTCTTCCGTATGCTTCCTAACCCGACCGTTTTCTACTGGGATCCCAGCTCCTTTTCTCTGTCAGCCCTCATGACGGAATTCATCAACAGTTTGCGGCCTCTCCATGAAACAGCCTTGAAGGATAGTGAACAGGTAAGAAAAATACTCAAGTGGGCAGAAGCAGACGAAAAGTTTCCGCTCCTGCGAACAGAAGGATCCACGCTTGATGTTTTTGGCGAAGATATTAATGGTGCAAACTTGGTCAATCACCTCAACAATCTCCGATCTGGAGTCGAGTTATGCGATGAGTATTTTGGCAGGATGAAGAAACCTGGATTGTCCATGATCAAGAGAGTTGTGCGCATGCATATCCAAGAGGTCATGGGTATTCTACACGAGAAGAACGAAGCCGACGATAACATGAAGAACGAAGACGATGACAAAGCTCTTGACGATGCACCAATCACCATCCACGACATTGATTCGGCGCCAGGTGAAGACAAAGAGACCCTCCTGATTCAAATGTACTTTGACCGCGTTCGACAAAACGTCGTCCGTAATCTCAGCAAACAGGGCCTACTAAGCAAGCGTATGAAGGCAAGACAAGATTCCTTTGTCTCTGAAGATGACATTAGTGCAACTCGTCCTAAGAACGGAAGGTTCGGGGACAAGGAGCTCAATGAAGCCTGGTGCGTACTTATGTTCCGCATGCTGTGCTGGTTGCAATTGCACGACTTCCACAAAATGGATATTCACATCAGCAAAAGCGATGCATACGCGAGTCGCATCCCGGTTTATATTGTATGATAGCTGTGTAAGAATACCAATCTCTTTTTGCTACACAGATCAATCGACGTAAGTCCAGACATTTCGAGCCCTGACTAAAGGGGCTTAGGCTATTTGTGTTAGGAACTCGCCATTGTGAACAAAGCAAGCTTCGTAACACCTGGCTGGTCTTGGACCCACGAGACGCTGCCAGTGCCACTAATTCAGCTGTTTCAACGAGCCATTCGCTCCGACCCTCGGATCTCGAGACAAGTCCAGTAAACTTCTGTATCATGCTGATGACTGACGCGTTCTTCTCTTGAGACATGGGTCGTGCCGAGAAAATGAGATCTGCAAAGCCAGTCTCTGTTACAGGTCTGCAGCCATAGTGATCTTGGCTAGCAGATCAACACGTCCTAATCGAAGAGCCATATCCGCACCGTAGTTCTCTTTCTATACTTTTGAGGAATATACAAATACGAAGGCCAGTGGAACTCGAGGCGAACAGGTACCCAGTAGTGGCCAGGAAGGCAATCAGGAAGTCGATGTTGTTGGAGGAATGTCAAGCAATCCTGTCGTTTCATCAGGCCACTTCCAGCTAGGATTCGCAACAAACCCAACCTATTACTTGGAACTGCAATTAATCGCGCAGTGCGTTACGTGTAATGGAAAGTGCCAATTTCGGTAAACGTTTCATATGGAGCAATCGAACTATGGAGAAGTCAATGCAAATTATTTGGCTCGTACTTTGGACAGTTTGTCTTGTTGGAGACATTGCACTGGTTCCACGCATGCGGATAGTGCGGAACTAGCTTCTGAAATAAGCTTTGGGCCCCTGGACTATTCACCTGGCGGTCAAATAAATGCACTACCACGATTTAACTTTGTCCACCCTTTCATATTAATGCATTGCAGCGATTGTCTCGATCGTATTCACGAGCGACCGGCAAGTCAAAATATAACCAGATACTGCTATGTCCGCCATGATACACGATCAAGCCGACCCGGAGCAATAAACGGTTTCTACTAAAGACTCCCAATAGAATGGTTGCCTCAATTATAGTTCAAGCTGACCTCATCCTGGACCACTTCCAATACTACAACGCGTATTACACTGTCGATCTATGGATACACATACGAGTCAGTGGCTCATGCCAGGAAATGTCGGTAGCTTACGAAAACGCAATGTTTGATATTGGGTATATCGTATTAAAGTCTAATCACTATGGAAAATACACTGCTTCATAATCGGTATAGACTTAGAGTATAGCAGGCAAGCCATAGATAGTATAGAGAGAGCAGTTAAAGCAAGGAGGTATACTATTATAGTACACTCAGTAGAGAGAAGTATCATGTCAATACTAAAACAGAGAACAACTAAGTCCCAGAATCCACATAATAGAGTTGGAGTTATTTCAAGATGGTCATGTTGATAACAGGTATATTGATACACAGGGGGTGAGAGCCAATACATCTTGTTCATTACTCCATCAAACGTGGGTCGATTTACATAATTGAAAGCTTGGATGGCTTTGTCTACCGAGTAGCAGTACAATACATGTTAATGTGTCCCACATAATCTCAAAGTACTACCTATAAATGCCCACCTCCATCCATTCGCAAGATTTATTCATCTGCTATTGTTCGCTAAGAAGCTCTTTGTAGCCACGTCTTTTCTCCTGTACAACCTCCATAAACCTACCTACAACCCATGTTTTCAAAGTAGGTCCTTGGGGACTGAATCTTGCCCCTCTAAGTACTGACGGTTTAGCTAGACTTAAGCACATACACGATGAAGTTATCTGCTATCGGTCTCTTTTTCGGTCTCTTCGCCATGGCCAGCGCAAAATGTTACAACTGCTTCTATGCAAGCGGTTCGCCTCCTTGCGGTGCATGCCCCAAGGTCATCAACGGTGGATGCGGTGGCTGCATTGGCGGTTGTCCTGCTGCGGAGGGTGGAACTTCAGCTTTTCAAGAAGTGCCCTGTTAGACAAGCCTGGTGGCAATACAATTATAAGGAGAACTTTTGAATCATTATTAAGATAGAAAGTTGAATTAATAAAAGACGATCCAGACTTGGTCAAGAATAAAATGTGTCTGGTGATAGATCACCGCCTTGAGATTCTAGCCACGTTTCCGCTTTATGAAATATGAGTTGTCTAATCTTCCGCCAATGACATAAGGTCTTCAATTGTTACCGCAGCTATGCGACTGCTCAACTGCCAGCAATTAGTCCCTGGACGATAGGTGACGGCTATGTCACCAATATCCTTGTGCAGTAACCTCATTAGTGAACTATACCTATTTAGGAAGTGCGAATCGCATCTTTACTTCGATGATGAGCTCCCACTTGTCAAAGAACCAGCCGTTTGCCGGTGGAACGCACTGAATGTCTAAATGTGACCAAGTATGCCCTTTTCAAGCTTTTTATATAACAGGATGCAGGGACATTTCAGTCGTTCCAACCCGGGTCTTCTCCACGAAGCATCATACGTCTACAGAGAATGGGTTCAAGGAGCGTCTGGCAATACCTTTGCGGTCACTGATCCCGGTAGCGGTATTCTTGGGCTACTTGCCCTGATAATGCAGCTCAAGATGTCGACAACCCAGTCCAATCTTCTTAAAAGGGCCTTTTTAAGTACAGGCTGCTCACTGCATGCAAAAAGGTCTACCTGCTACTAGAATGGCATCAATTAATTGGCGATGCTAAAGAAGACCTTATAAAACTTCTTACCTACAAAACTGAAAAGACTCTTATTGAAGCTCGTAGAGAGATTGACTATTCTCTAGGCTTTGCTTAGTGGTTTAGTGGAGAAGCTAAATAAATCTAAGGCTTAATTAGGGCGTCTACTAATGCAGAAAGAAGAGTGCTTGCAATTAAGCAGTCTATTGGCATAACTGTTACTTTTAGCCCTATAGAACTTCCTAATTACTCTAGTTATAAAAAAGGCAAGTGCAGTGTTTATTGCTAGGTGCTATATAATCGTTAAACCGTTACCTGAAACGCCTCTGTCTTGCTTGGCCTTAGCAGATCTAGCTACTGAAGCTGGATTACTAGCAGACATATTTAACGTTCTAACAACTTCTTTAGAAAATACCCCTGCTCTTTCCGTGGCCTTATGTACTTATCCTTTAAATATAAAAGTAAACCATACAGGCAGCACTAGGGTGAGTAAATTTATTGCTGGTTTTTATATTTAGAATCTTAAAAAGTGCACACTTGAACTTGGTGGAAACTGTCCTGTTGTTGTCTTTAACCTTGCTGGTATTAACTAAGACATCAGTCAGATTATGGCATTAAAGTGGAGGAATGTAGGCCAAGCATGTACTACGGCAAACCGAGTTTATATTCAAGCCGGCATCTATGAGAAATTTGCCACCGCCTTCTCGGAGCAGCCTAGCAAGTTCAAGATAGGTCACGGCGATGATTCTGTTAATAGCTTCGCAGCTGCCGCTGCGTTTGCCGGTCATCAGAAGGCTGAATCGCAAGTCAAGAATGCTCTTGAGAACGGTTTTAAGCTCAGAACTGGATTAGGAAGACCTCTTGTATTGACTTTGTTGGGAGACACTAGCCAGTTCATGGAGCCAGCGGTTCTTACCGAAATAACACAGGATATGGAGATGGCCACGGAGGGAACCTTTGGTCCAGTTTACGGCCTCTTCAAGTTTGAAACAGAGGAACAGGCTGTGACGTGGGCCAACGACACCAGCCTGGGTCTTGCAAGCTATGTGTTTACTAAGAATTCGGACCGTTTGTGGAGGTAGCTTGAGAATCTAGAGGTAGGTATGTTTGGCTTGGTAAGTGGAAGCGGTATCCTTCCATATTACAGTCCCTTAGGAACTGACATACTATAGAATACAGGAAATGGCTCTGCCGCGGATAATCCCCTTGTAGGTATTAAACAGTCTGGTTACGAGAAGGAAAGTGGTAAAGATGTTACTGTAACAGAAGCATTTGTCGAAAAGAATGGGACTTTGACAGTTATGTAGTAATTTTGATGGGTTACAATAAATGCCGTGATGTGCTGGATATGTGTCACTTAGTTATATCTTTCCCATTTTAAGTTTGTACTCGAATGAAGTTGACAGAAAAATATGCATACTCGAGTTTTTAAAGATCCAGTACGATTGGCGAATAAATAGTACTTCAAGTAAGTTAGAACTAGCTATAGAGTATATGTTGAATATACTATTGCCAGCCAGGAGGCCTATGCCTCCACTGGCCCCCTCAGGACGGCTGCATTCAATGGGAGGGTCTCCAATCCAGGAACTGTAGGCGGCAGATCGTCTGAAAAACTCCATAAACAACATGTACACACCAGGAACGTTAATTGCAGAGCTTAATGCAATCTAACATTGTGTTAATACTGTTATGTGTTTCCTTAGGATCACGTAAGTTATGGTCTGCGGTGAAGTTAGTTTTTTGAGTTCATGAAGCGAGTTGTTGCCTACATCGATGGCACCAGAACTTATACTGCTTTCCACCAATAATTCCATACTTGCCATGCTGACCAGGGCCTTGATATCTAACGTCAGATGCCAATGGAGCATGTAATAGGGACCTTTTACTTACAGCTGGATGCAATGAGCTCCTTAGCCAGGGTAGAGTCGGCAGCACAGCCAGCAGAATGTTTATGGCATGTAGCCAATTCTTCCCGGTGCGTAGTCAATTGCTCGTTTAAGAAAGCCTCGCGTGCAAGACCAGACTCCTTGTCCTCATGGAATGCAGTCACTTCTTCCCGATGGGAGGTCAACTGCTCCTGCAGGGACGATTCGCGTGCAAGGCAAAACTTGTTGTCCTCCTCGCAGGTCGTAGGGAAAGGATCCTTCTCGTCGGGGTCTCTCGGGAATGGTTCATCTTCAACCTTGACCATAAAGATAGTGCCCGAGATTTTGCCTTCCTTTTCTCCTTCCATATCAGCAACGAGGCATTGCTTCTTGTCAATATGGTAAGTGGAGGCAATGGCGCTAACGTTCATGGCCAGCGTCGCACAGTCTTGGGCAGAATCAATCTCTTTATAGAGAGTTCATACACGATAGTAGTCACAATGGTACTTAACTACATAGTTGGGGCCAATTATCTCTTCATGGCCTTCCACACAAGTGGCTAAGGCCAATAGTAAGAATGGCCTGGTTTATATAGAAGTTTCTAGGCTGGCTTCCTTTATTGTAAACGACCCATTTTTGGCTAATATAACTGTTATCTAATCCCATCTTGCTAATATAACTGCTGTCTTAAATCCCGTCTTACTGTGAGGGAACAGGCTGTGGAACCGGTTCGTAGACCAAAGCGGCAGCCGGGAACGGTCCTGTCTCTTTCTACTCCTACTCGTGGATAGGCTTGCAAAAGAGTGGAGAGTTTGCAGTAAATGATGTCCATTTTTAGCGTGCGACACGTTTTTCCATGTTGGGCTTAAGTTATCATACCATACCCTACCCACAACCAACCGCAATTCGTGTTCCAAGATCTACCGAGCGCGGTTAAATGGAAGAGATGCCTGGGAGGGTATTTGGATTGACAAGGAACAAGTGTGACTCTGATAGGTAAGTCCTTCCCTCTGCCTTTCTTCTTAAGAGTAGTTACTTCATATGGTATATTTACTTGGGGTGGCCACAGAATTTTAAATGACAAGATATGCTTTCGGTAGAGTTGAACTCGACTTGACGCTGTGGGATCCATAAATACTCGTCGGGTAAGGAGGAGGTGCGCCACCCAGTAAAAGCATGCATTGGGCGTACTCAGATGGTCATCTTGCGACGAGGTGCAATGGCCAGACAAGCAGCTATTTGATCGAGCAGCTACACTCAGTGGCATCGGATGCTTTCGTCATCCCCAGTCTCGCATAGTCGTTTCCAGTTGATACGCTTCAGCGAGCCGTACATCGTTCTCCAACTCAGCATCGGCGGCCAATATCGATATCTTTGCCCAAAAAGAAAGTACAGACTGAGGGCAGCTAGTGAGCTCGCGCAAAGATGGCCCATAAACACCGGCTTCCTCATGCTGCTAATACAAGACGAGGGATGCGGGTGCAAGGGGGTTTCGGCGTCGCAAGAGAGACATGATGACGTTGATCATAGCAAATCGCTGCCCCAAGAAGCGTGAGTAGAATTCTTCAGGCATCAACGACCAATTTGAACGCATCCCGAAGATATGTGTCAGTCGCGAGGCTACAAGTCATAACTTCCGAAGCAATGTGGATAAGGTGGGTAGCAAGATTGACTTCTCTTAGAGATAGGACCGAGAAGGGATGGTTCTTTATGTGTACAAATGACCGTTCCCCGGTATTGGAAAGTCGGAGATATCGCTCCATACTCCACACCGATCTCAAAGCTTGCGACCGACGCTCTTCCATGACTCTTAAGTCACCTATGCAATAGTTGTACATATTTGCAGCCGACAGATACAAGAAGGTATGTAACAGCAGTGGATATGAGATGGAGACTCTACAAAGCTCATGAAACGGGTTCTCAGGGCTATCGAGAGGTTGGATCCGAGGAGAAGCATCGGTCACAACTGGCAAGAGAGAATGTCAAGTCCAGTAGGTAGACAGTTGAGTTTCATGAAACTGACAATAGTTCAACGCAATTTCCTCAGTGCAAGTTGGAAGCCTTGATGTCAGCGGCCCTAAGCTGTGCTGAAAGGTCCTAGTGGTACCAAATACGAGACGGGCACTAGATCTTGATACATCGGCCTCAGGTTGGCTTTCAATGATTTCCAAAGAAGTATCGGCGTCACTTAGGAAAGAATGTCACTCCAATTTCTCGCTTGTGCTGTCGCCTGTAGCTGTTATGTAACTATTGCATTGTGCAGATGACGTTGTAGTGTCCTCATCTATCACAAATTCATCAACCAATTACCATCAAACTGCATGTTTAAAAGGTATCGATATACAAACTCATATCGCTATTGCATTGGTTCAATCCCCGAAACCCTGTGGTGAAGACATTTGCTGCCTTGTAGTGACATGGCTCATAGAAGACAAGACCGCCTGCGAACATTCTAAAGTTGGTATGGGTCTTTGACGAGGGACATCTCGGTGGTCAGTTCCCAACGACCGAGGCCGGCTGTCTTTTTGGTAAGGGGCCGGGCCTAGGTTTGGGTTTCGGCCTTAGGTGAGACTCTGGGTTTCGTTTTGACCCTGGTTCAAGACTTGGCGGCTGACATCGCTTTGTTGTGCATCTTGAGTCGGGCGCGAATGCGCTGCGGTCGACCTCGACTTGAATATTTTTTTTTTTTTTTTTTTCACCTCTCGTCTCGATCAATCCTGTTGATCCCTCCGTTGAATGAAGTATTGGGAAGAACAAACACGCCGTTGACCGCCGCCCAATAAAATTCGCTTATGTAGTCGTGCAGCCTGATTTTTGCCATAGCGTATAGACAGGTCGCTTCTCATCACATTCTCTATGAGGCTTTCTGCAGGTTAAGCAACCTAGTGAGCCAATTGGCCTGGTAATAATACATGCAATCAGACAAAAAGAAGGGACAGCTGTCTTAGATAACAGGTTATAGGACTGAGAATGCCATAAAGTCATAAGCCAAGCTGTGCTACTAATGCATCAATCATTACCACGTTTAATATATCTCATTGCTAGATCAATTCAGATCGGCCAATACAACGATGGCAGGGACTTTGCCCAGGTGTTATCTTTTAAATACAGCCTGCTGTGTGTTCACGTGCATACCTGTATTAGTTTGCCTCGGCAGTTGGCTCAATAGTGCACTACCTTGCATGTTAACAGCTTGGGTTGCTGATCCGGTATGGAATCTACTCCCTAGTCTCGCCCTGTACCAAGTTTTCGTATCATTTTTAAAGTTAGTTTTGCTTACTAGTGGCTGGCTCCGAGCTCACAGTCTCTCTACTGCATAGAATTGCTGTTGCGCTCGAGCCTCGGCTAGATTCCGTGTCGCAAACTAGACCTAATTCTGAAAAGCGAACCAGATGGTAGCTTCTAAATAATTTCGCGTTGCCTGCATTTTGCGCATGCTACTTTCCACTGCGTCATCATGCGAAGCCATGATCTGATTTTAATGGTTTTGCACTTCAAATGCTGAGGTGTAGAGGGCGGATTGTTGCTAGGACCTCTTAACAACCATTGCCCTCATATTCATCCCGCAGTATAAAAGGCCATCCATTTCCGACAAGTTTCCACTTTGATCATATTGTTCAATATGAAAATTACAATCTGCCTTGAAAATTGAATTGATCAACATGGAAGCCCAAAAATACAGCAGACCCTCGCAAGCACAAAAGCCACAGCGGCCCACCAAACTGGTGTTGGCCCTACGAGCACTTGTCCTTGGAGTCACAGTCGCCGGGATCGTCGTATCCTCTATCCCTGCCCCGAAGAACTTTATTGCAATTGGAATACTAGGACCAGCTGTAAGTAGACATATCATAACCAGCTTCTGACCTTCTATGTATTAACAACTTAGTTTGTCACGACTTTCTGCTGGTCAGCTATAGAAATTCTGTACCCTCTGGTCAGGATCTTCCCGCCTGCCTATGTGTCATTCCGTATTCTTATCGACTGCTTTATTGTAATTGGCTCGATAATCTGCCTGATATGCTTTGGTCTATTCCGGGATTGGTGGCCAGGGGGTAGTGCCCTCAGTTCAGAAGACGCGCCTTTGGCTCGAGAGATACTATTCCAAGCAGCTCTGGGACTCGCCTGCGCCTCGACGTAAGTTGTGTACCAATCCAGCAGTAGATGACTTGCTAACTCTTTACTCAGAGTTCTTGAGATCGTAATCTGCATCACTCAACTTTTGGAAAAATAGTTGGTAGCCAAGAGTTGAAAGGATATAATCAGGTTGGCTTAAGATATGTAGGTAGTAATTGTACTACAGCCCCAATTTATGAAATACTCTTAAACCCGCTTCTCAGCCCTCTTGATACGTAGTATGTATCTGCTAGAACAATACTAAATAGACTTTATACAGAAGTATGAGATTCCCTATCAAGAGCATATGTGGCGTAAGTCGCCACGGCGTTGTCAAAACAGATACCACTTCAGGTATTAACCACAGAACCCAAGTGTCTGATGAGTCTATGTCCACTTTCCACCACCATCAATGATCTTCCAGGATATAGTTCGAGGAAAATGCACTGAATCGCCTTATGACTCGCACTACACGAAGGTGGTGCAGAGCTCCTGGTCCGGCCCACGCTGGGTATTTGCGTCTATTTACCCATCCTCGGGGAGCTAATAAGCATCCAACCTTGATATGGAGTGTCAAGATAAACTCAGCAAACAATATCCTAAACCTATCCTAAACTTAAACCAAATTACCTAAGTCTTCTTATCACTTAGGATCAAGGCCATGAGTTTTTTCTCTCCCCTAGCCCAAGTCAAGGACGGTTGATCCAGCGATAACTTTCCATGCATCGCATCATTCCAGGCAAGCTCTTGGGCTTCTTTGTCAAGGTCGACGGAGTTTCCGGTGCGAGGAAGGCTCGGTCTTACTGTTCAGCAAACCGCTTATCTCTTTTCTAGATTTATAATAAATCCTATCGCTGACTTGAGGCTGATGCTCACATTGCAGACAGAGCTGTCAGACGCGTTGTGCTCAGCGAAAGCCGGTCCGTTACAATGCAGGTTATGGAATGATACAGGCCTGCTGAGACCTTCTTTAGATCCAGTTTATACCATAGATACGGGAAGGCCATCAATTTCCTCGACTGTAAACCGTTCTCTTCCCGATACCTTCGTTTCATGGATGACCATCAAGACAGATTTGAATACTGGGTGGATGTCATGGGTTCTGCTCAAAGTCATCTACAAATCCTCTCGTGGCTGTCCCGATGGAGTAGGGAAAGGCGGAACAGATAATCTCTGAAGCATCTCAGATGTGATGCCTCTGAAGGTATCAGACGAGAAACTTTAAATGAGCTACTGATGAAATTGCGAGATATCCGCAAGCGTTGGTTGTATGTCCCTATTATGATACCTAAACATGATGGATTTAGCAATGTAGTGACCATGCTCTATATCAGACTCATATGGCTTGAACCAATGACGATAAAGCCAGGGGTCGAGAGAGTTCAAGACACCGCCACTAGCTCTGTCTGATTATATCCTGTCTGGGTAACAGAGATACATCGCGACAGACTTGTTATGACAGTTGGAACAATGTTGAAGACTTTAGTAGCCAAGGCCTCATTTTACGCTGTCTCTACTGACTGGAACTTCGCAGTATAAAGGTTGTTGAACGAACCGCGCCCAGACATTCTCCCGGTGCTCTTTTCCTTGAGTCCACGCAGCTAGTGGAGGATCTGGTCTCTGTCTGCGAAGGGTCGTGGTAACTCTAGCGCAAGATCTGATGCGACAACACGATCATATTCCTCGGCTACTGTGGCCATCAACGTCGACGGGTTATGTGGATGACATCCTCTGCCTTTTGCGGATGGTAAGGATGAGATTCGGAAGACATGGCGCTGGCTTCATGTTGACGGGTGATGAGTGAAATTTAGAAAAGCATGAGGACGAAAACAAGGGGCCGAGACACAATTATAGGTGAAAATCTGGAAGCCAAACTTAATTTCATTCCCATTCAAAGTTGCTTGAAAACTCTAATATTAAAGACTGCTTATTCATGTATCTGGCTCAGCAATACAGGACAGTGAGCAAGTGAGAGTCTCAGTTACAGCGAAATCTGATCGAACCTTAATCTGACATTTCTCACACAATTATTTGCAATCCCCAGATCAATGTTTACTTGCCAGGCAGCCTACTTAAAACGACTGGCGAGTCTCGGGGGACTATTTATATCATGTGACTGGTTCACTGGCGACAATGAAGGTTACTCAATTTAGATCCGTGTCTAGCCTAGACATGCATGTTGCTTTGTCCATAATTTCAGCCTGTGGCATCTCAACGAAACATACCAAGTCTTCTCACTTGAGCAAGTATTGTCTTCAATGCTAAGTTCATTTTAAATTGGGACGTTGTTGACCTCAAGATACAAAATCCAATTCCCAATTGGGAGAAGCACATCCTGTTGTTCCGTTCTCGCTGGTTAGTAGTACCTTATGAAACATTACAAAATTTGTAGAAACTTGAAGGAAAGCTATGATAGGACTTGAAGAGCATTCTGCAAAGCCCCTTTCTCATCTTCCTTACACTTCGGAATCTCCTCCTCAAGTGCCAATCGGAGTTTCTGACGCACTTCCTTCCAAGCAGGGCCTCCCTTGTCTGTAGCAAGTTGGTCGAGAAGAAGCTTAAGAATAAAGGGAGAGCGTGGAATCTTTAGCGTTTCTACCAAGTTTGTCACCTGTGAAGACAATGCAACCGGATCGGTTAGGTCTTCGCGGGTCACCTTTGGTGTTTGTGTTTTAGAATCCCTGATTTGCGCTGTTAGTAAGGTCCGCCGCTCGCGTAATGCCGCTGATGTGGTGTCTCGAGTACGCTGCTGCTTTTCCTCGAACCTCGACGGGGAGATGTGTTTATTATTTCGGTAGCCGTCGAGGTTAGTCCCAAGAGCGTAGGCCCTACGGCTTGTAGCAGCCATGCTGTCGTAAGTCCATTCCATTGATTTGGTACGTGCGTCGACTTTCTGTCTCATGCCGATCGGAACTTCAAATGTGCCAGTAGTGGCTGTTGGCTCAGCCCGGGGTATAGATCCCGTCTTCCACGTGCGGCAAAGCTCATGCTCGTATTTTCGTTGTTCTTCCAATGACACGGGATCCTTGTTCGAAAGACCAGACATGGCCAGTTCGCGTCCCATTGGGCCAGTAACCACAGGCCAAGAAGTCTTTTGGATGGGTGGTTGACCTGGGATAGGGCTGGGAGTCCAATCCGGGGCTTGGTAGGTATTTTCAGGCTTCAAGGCCTTTGACTTTGCTCCGTCGGATTCCCATAAGTTAACAACCTTGGTGGACGAAGGGCCAGACGTGAGTACATACGATGTTGTTCTACGCGGAGTCCAAGCTGATTCGCCAGCCATAATTCTTTGTACCAATAGGTTAATGAATGTCTGGCAATTTCTGTTAAAGACGCTATAGTTTTCGTAAAGCTCATGTGTACATAGAGTGGTGGCTTCAATAACAGTAAGTAACACTTGTACTATCCAACTTCTTTCCACCGTGGTTGAGAACCTACCACATTGAACAATTGAGTCATTGTCCCAGCTTGTGAACTTCCTTGTCTTCTCATACTTGATGCCTGCTTGCGGCTCAGTTTCTTCACGCCTTTGTCGCGTACGATGAAGAACAATAATTCCGTCGTCCGAGCTCCGTCCGAGCTCTACACAGAGTCCTTGGCGGGTTTGGACATCTTGTTCGGTCTCGACGTATATCCCCCAATGCTGTATAGATGAGGCTTTTATATACCGCCCAAGATAAGCAGAGCCGGAGATGGGCACAGGTGTCCCAGCTGGGACTGTGAATATCGTAATATGTCGCAATGTGTTTTTCTGAGGTTCCATCTTGTTCGACATGGACGATGGGTGGTGATAATCTTCATGGTTCGCTACTCTTGGCAGAATATGTCCCTCATTTATTTACCATCTGTCAGCCAGATTGCGGCCCAAGGTCGTACAAGCCACAACGTTAGGTCTCGAACCAATCATGGGGGCAGCAAGCTCAGGCCTCGAAAGCTGTTGAATTCGACAGCCTTGTTTCATGGGCGCCTCAGGCATGTCGACTGACATCACGGCCTTGACCTCTCGCATCAGGCTCTGCTCATAGAATGGGGTTTAACGACGATCTTCCCTCAAATATGACCAACCATGTCGCGGACTAAGCTAAATTACATTCTTCAATCTTCCATGACCCGTATGGGGAACACGACTCGTCGTCTCTGGGCGTTAGCCTCCAGGACCGTTGAGACAGGCTACTCACCCTGGGGAGTCTGGGAATGCACAGCCAAGAACTTGCTCCAAGCGCCACAGTCGCAACAGAATGAAGTCTTCCAGCATTTCCTCCATACCAAGCAACGAGAACTCGAGATAGTAATAATATCCGTATGTCTGACCTGTCATAAGGATTCGACCCAGCATTATCTAAATATTTTCTGATTATGTAGAGTGTTCTAGTTGCTACCCTCGTCGGCAGCTTGATGTCGTGGAATTGGTTTCCAGTTCCTCCATACACTGCAAAGATTGCCATGCTTTGTGCACTTATCCATGCGCTTCTAGGCACCTCAATCGCCACACAGCAGTTCTTGATTATGGCGCAAATCTCAATCAGCCCGCAACGTAACAAGGCGTTACTATGTGCAATTCTAGGATCAGATGCTAGTAGTTTCGCCTCTCCGATGCCTCGACCAAGGCGCCTGACATCTGTCTCTTGGCAGGCACCTACGATGCTACTAGGAAACAGCATAGTGTTTCTGCTTGTCGGGATTGCAATCCACATATATGACGCTGCCCGAAGTGCTGGAATTTGGGGGGCTGATATGGTAACAGCGCTTTGCTTTACTATATCGTTGATCTTTGCAGTCACTACATACTTTATTCATTGGGTTGCACTATATTGGGTTGTTAATGCTGAGCTACAGGCCTAACTAGGATGTACAATATTTGAAGAATTTCCTCCATGATATGAATAGTTAAGCCTCACTTTCAGCCGCACGCTCCTCAATGCCGTCATCCTCCATCTTCAAGGTGTAAGCCCTGCCATATGCATTCTGAGGGTCACGCTTCTCGAAACCATCGTCCTTCATCTTCAGTGTGTAAGCCTTGCCATATGTATTCTGAGGATCGCGCTTCTCAAAACCATCATCCTTCATCTTGAGAGTATAGGCCTTGCCATACGTGTTTCTCTGGGGCTCACGCTTGTCAAGATCGTCTTCCAAGATGTACTTGACCCCGTAGCCAGGAGGCGAAACGGGATTCGCCTCTCTCTCAGCAATTTCATTGCCTAGACCAAAATTTAACTAATGTTTCTTCCTAGGCATACTACAACGTACCAGGAATGGGACTTGCAATTGCAAAGCTGCATAGTGCAGCGGTGCTGAGGATCTGGGATAACTTCATTGTGGCTCGGTCTGCTAGGAACTGCTGTATTGTGAGACTTGATTTTCCTCTTCAGCTGCATCTTGTACAGGATGATTCCAGTATTAAATACAACACTCTGTCGTCCGCTCTTTCACGCAGATCGTATATTTGTCCAAATCGGTGACTGCTTGGAACGGAAGGTCATTTTGTTGCGGGGTAGATAAGGTGTATTATCCAACAGATTTCATCCATTAGTGTGCATACACAGATGTTCTTGTATCAATACGTCACTCTGTATCTCTTTTTGGTGTAGAGTGGTGATGCCGGAGTCCAAAGGCATCACGTCAAAAGAAGCCGTCTTACCGGAACTCGGCATCTATCTTCAAAAGTACCCACTTTGATATCTTGTTGGGAAACCCGAGATCTGTCTCGGATTGCTGTGCCGGATTGATCGGCACCTTGCACCAAAAGTACCTTTGATATTCTGCTTAGGGAAGGTGATTTTGTTTTGGCCCCCAGATTTGATGATGATAACAAAATGCAACACGACCTTGGTGATAAAGCAATCCCATTGCTCGAGTTTCAGCGCAATTTTCAAGTATTCAATCTCTTACAAAACTGAGAGTTGACTCAGTTATTTCTACCTTTTCAGTCTACTTGCCAGCGAATCTATGAACATAGCCAAGATCATGTCACTCAAAGAAGACAGAGGTTCTGATGAGAGCCTTCTAGGCAGTGACAGAGAGAGTGATGAGATCGAGTGGACTCGACCAATTCAGCGACAGAACTGGAGACGATATGCTTGGGTAATTCTCAACCTTCTCCTCTTTCTGTTATCTCTCGGTCTTTTTGTCGCTGCCTCCTCCAGGTTCAGCTCGGAGTCCGAGATGGACTACATCCGCAAGACGTCCTTTTACTGTGAGCTTCCATCCGCTCCTCACAATGCTGACGCTCGATTAACTTCTCTTACAGCTCCTGTCTTGGACTCAATCAACTTCAAGATGAGGCCTATTGAGACAGAGGGTGGCTTGTTCGAAGCAAAGAATCCGTCCAAGTGGCGCAACTCTCTCAAGCCTGATCCCGAGGTCGATGATGCATGGGAAGATCTTGAGATCATCCGTGTTTTCCCCATCACTGAGTCCGAGGTTCGCCGACTAGGCAAAGATCCAGAGCTTCTCGTCAAGTTCCCCCAAGAGTACGGTCTTGGTGATAATGCCTACATGGCGCAAATCGACATGTTTCATCAAATACACTGTCTCAACCTTCTGCGACACCTAGCTTGGGCCGAGTATAACCGCAATGGCACGGCAAAGAAGCCTTTCAGCGACTTGCATTGGATTCATGTCAGCCATTGCACTGACATATTGATGCAGAACCTCATGTGCAACGGAAATTTGGACATCATCACCTTCAACTGGGTTGAGACCCAGTCGAATCCATTTCCAGACTTTGCTGTCAACCATCAGTGTAGGGATTTTGATGCGATATATGAATGGCAGGATAAACACTCGGTGCCAAAAGAATGGGGGCGGAATGTCACTCGGCCAGCTGGCGCAAAGCAGATTCCAATTAGCGAAGAATATTATCGTATATATGGGATCGAGAAGCCGCAAGTATCTACAACACCATAGCTACACTAAAGCATTCAATCCCAATTTGATTAACACTTCTTCGAGACTCCTGAGGCCCTTCTCGCCACTTGAAGATTAATACATAATGCCGCGGAGGCTCCTGGTGTAGGATGACTCAGTCCCTGAGGTATGAGGCCCCAATTGTTCATCGGCATCCGCTGCGCTTCGAGCTCAAGCAGACCTTTCGGTGACCCCCATTCTTTGGCGAAGAACCAGACACAAACTGGCAACATCCTATCCTCCTCACGCATTTCTCTTCAATGAGAATAGCCACCGCATGTGCTGTGTTATACGTGACATCTGGAGCAGAACGATAGGGTCCGACTCTCAGTCTGCAACCACCATGAATAGCGGCAAGTCTCGTATCTCCTATGTTTATCTTGCTCTTTAGCATATTACGGATGAGCTGCTGGCAATCTGACTGGGACGCGAGATAGTTGGCGCGGTCGCAGTTTATCTTGAACGTCGCACGTTTGGCAAGGTTCTCGTCCGGAGTCGCTTCCACAATCGCCTTGATGAGCTCTGAGTGGGTATCTTCGCTGCTGGTACTGGCATAAAAGGCAACGGCTTCAGCGTATTGAACAGGAGCATTGACCTTGTAGCCGGCTGCATCTTCCTTGATGATATCCAAAATGGTGTCATTTGTATCTTGGGTGATACCATCCTGGACGTCTCCCTCCATGTGGAATCTTGCCCATATTGCATCGCCATATCTCTTACTCTGGATAGCTTCAACGTATCTGCTAGACCAAGGCTCGATCAATGGCAGCATGGAAGTGTTTTGAAGAACATCGTTGATGGGGATATCCAAAAAGAGCTGTTCTGGCAGGTGGGACGAGTTTGTCTTTGCAACAGCATGCTGTGCAGTAAGCATAAGAGTTATAGTCAGAAGTTGAGAAAGCATCTTTCGGTTTGAAGAAAATGATGATGATTGTTTGGCGACTTGGGCAAGATATGAATCGGCCTATTCCAGTATATTTATACATGGGACAATTGTTGGTCGGAAATTCAGACAATTTCCTTCTCGACTTACTTGTATCATACGACAAGGGCTCATGGTAGTGAACGTGATGATATGCTGTTGGTTGTTAGTTACTTGTAAGCTTTGCCGCAATCCTTCGGCTAGGATTGAGATGTTGGCTCGTGAGTAACAAGGGTGAGTAAATCCCGCAGAGAACATAACAGAAAATCTTTCGCATCATAAGCAAACAACAAAAATAAAAGCTCTAACATCACTCGCGATTTGGTGCTGACATGTTAGAGAGGGGGACACATATTGTGCAAATGGTGAGTGACCTACTTTATCAGGTTGTTATTAAGATTAAGTATTAAACACCTTGAGTCTATCTGTATTAATATTGAGCTTATCTTATCCGAGGCTGTTTAACATAATCACTGCATTTAATCGTATCAGCAGTGCCTATACGAGACCTACCGTGCGATGTTTGCATGAATGCCGTAAAGTTCTGAGACTCTGTTGGTCCGCATTATGTGTTGGTTGTGATATGTATGTTCTGACCGCCCCCAAAAGCCTGTATTACTTCATTTTATTGGCTGGATTGGACACGTGCCATTCTCAAATGCCGACGCATCCGAGTTTTCGTTCATCTGAGCATGTTATCTCAACCAAGTGAAAGTTTTTGACGTTGGCTTTCGTGACTGAGCAAGGACACATCCTCGTATTTCATGTTATGAGACTATGGGCTGTAGTCGGGCCGTTGTACACATAATGACTCCTCTTCAAAAGGTCCCACGGCTCATCTGGCCTCCCCTGCTTGCTTGAACCGCCTCATCCTCTCTCTCCGCGCCTTCAGTCGCGAGGGTCCATCCTGCCAGTATCAAAGATTATCTTGAGTACCTCTGGGTGCCCGTCCGCACTACTAGTCGTTCGGTAGAGCTCCAGAGCCTCTGCGTATAGTCCTGGTTCGTTCATCTTCGCCTCAACTGCATCTTCCCTGATTTGATCAAGCACCGTGATGTCAGGATTCGGGCCTTGGCCAATGATCAACCCATCCTCTACCCCTCCCTCGATGCAGTAGCGAGCCCAAATGGCGTCGCCGTATCGTTGCTCTCGAATTGAATCGACATACATAGTCTTCCATGGCTCGACAAAGGTCACCATTGTCTGAGTAAATACCTCATGAATTGAAATGTCAAGGAACAGCTCCTCGACTGGGTGCATAATAACAGCGTCGCTCATTTCGGAACTGGTTTCTGTCAATATGCCACAAAATCAAGGAAGGGCTATAGCCTACGGTGATTTATTTGGTAAACCTTGATAATAGCAAATGTGATAAAAACGATAATGAGGTTGATAAAATGTGAGAACGAACCGTAAGGGCAAGTACAATAATGGATTCGTCTTGCTAGGGAGATTGATGAGAGGGTGGCGACGAAACAATTTGTGAGATGGGGGTGCCTGCTGCTTTTATCTTAGTGAGCAATCAGGCAACGGGCTGCAGTTGGCGAATGGTAGGGTTTTTGCTGTAATTGGGTGAAATCTCTTAACATCTCAGACCTTGCTTCTCGTAGCTTCACGAGGCTTATAGCGCATATACAAACCCAAGCGCCTATATGTCAGATGAAATGAGATTGAACAACAGGCACAGTACGCATAACCAGCCTTTAAGGTCATGGAATACAGCAATACTTTCTGCAAGCAAGCCTATTTATATAGTAGGTGTCACTTTTGTTAAGAGCGGGGTATTAACTACATCGAAATCAAAGCGCCAATTAAGACATAAAGATCACAAATCGAGGCTTTGTAGCTTATTTATTATGCTTATAGTCTATGATTAGTGTAGAAGGCTACTTATTATAGCGATATAGAGGTTCCTACTCTGGAAAGGAAATACTAAATTCCACTTGCTAATTACAAAGCAATCTGTACTGTCTTTGACATGCTAGGAGTGCCCTGCGGCGACATGACAAAGAGGTAGTAATAGCCAGGCAGAAGGATACCATTATCCTTGGGTAGCTTGACCGTATACTGGTTGCCCTTGACTTGGAAGTCGGTAAGAGGGACACGCCTTTGATCGCTGTTGACTGAGTGTGTAGCGCTTCCCATACGAACAAGAGACATCTTGACCTTGCCAGAAGTGTTTGTGACGCTGAACTTGAGAGTGCTGCCCGCTTTGACAGGCTTCTGGGCAAGGTTCTGGATGACGGGACGCTTAGCGATGGAGCCATCCTTGTTGAACAGGTAAGGAGGCTGGAAGATCTCTCCATCAGCGTGGTCAGCTGTCTTGTCGCAGCCAGCAGTTGAACCACCAATCTTGGCAACGTAGCAGAGACCACCGCCACCAATAAACACGGTAGCATCAGGCAACAGGATTGAGACAGAGTGGTAGTTGCGGGGAACAGCTTGAGGCGCAAGCTGAGTCCACTTGTTGGTGGCAGGGTTGTAGAGCTCAGGGACCAGGATACCATCGGTGTTGGTGAAGACCATTGCCTTGCGTTGACCTCCAGTCACAAGAACAGTTCCATCAGGAAGAACGACAGCATTACCGAAGCCACGAGGGAAGGCCATATCGGCAACACGCTTGACAGAAGCAGGCTTGTAAGGTGCTCCAATGGTGGTGATATGAGCACGCTTGTTGGCATCACTTGCGGTGTAGTCCTGGGCACCACCAGCTGACAGAATCTTACCAGCAACGGCATCGTACATGACAAAGATACCGCACATAGCATCGGCGTTATCTCTCTTACCAGACTTGACGATTGATCCCTTTTGCTTGGTGCCATACCAATGCTGCTCCTTGCTGGGGCCGGCTTGGAAGACACTGCCGTCTTTCCAACCAAAGAGCCAAGCGTGGTTATCCTCACGCCAGATTCCCTCTCGATCTTTGGTGAGCATAGGCTTGACATCGGCTCCAGGCAGCATGGTCCACTTGTTAGCCTTGGGGTCGTAGACTTCACCATTCTTTCCCTCGCGGGGGCCGGAGTAAGCTCCTCCAATAGTGAAGACTCTTCCATCAGAAAGAATTGTGGAAGTCTGGTAGCCACGAGGGATTTTCATGTCTGGTCCTCGAGTGAAAGAGTTGGTCTTGGGGTTGTAGAGTGTCACAGCCTCGGCATCGGAACCACCCTGAATCAAGATGCGTCCATCAGCGAGTTGACTCATTCCAGGGCAGAACATATCATGGTGAGTATCGGCGACCTCTCGCTGTCCGACAGCACCTGAAGGAAGGTCGAGAACTCCAAATTGGGTGCGGCCAGAGGCACCACCGAAGGCGTCAGCGCCCCAAGATGAGAAGAAAAGAAGTTGCTGCGACTGAGGGAACTGGGGAACAACATAGGCGGCAACGGGAATGACAGGGAGACGGATGAGATCGGACCATTTGCCTTGAGTTGCAGGCTTAGACTCGACTGGGGAGTGAACAACGCTGTATCGCTTGCTCTGCACCCAAAAGAGCGACGCCTTGGGCTCGGTCTCCTTGATGTGACAGACCTTCTCCTGCTTGTCGTAGACGGCTTTCTTGCATGTCTTGATACCGGAGCAAATATCGGCACATGCAGCAAGAGAAGCGCAGTTGTTGGTCATTCGGGATGTCGGGCCGACGTAGTCGCTGTTGTGGCAGACGTTGAAGGTCTTGCCACCCTTGGAGCGGTAGTTGTTGGTTGGGTTGGGGCAACGAGAGATGAAGACTCCTTCGTTGATGTTCTTGACGCGAATCGTGTCGAATTTGGCGTCTGACGCCCAGTTCATCTGAGCCTCGTTGGCGTTGTCCTTGACGTGGCAGATGCGGTTTCGCTTATCGTATACAGCCTTGACGCATCGGGGGTCCTTGCTGCAGATTTCGGCACAAGCATTGGTAGATTTGATGTCCCGGGCGACCTTGAGACTGCCTCCACCGTATCGATAGTCGGTATTGCGGCAAATGGTGTACTCGGTGCCGGTCTTGGATGTCCACGATGCTTCTTTCGATGGGCACTGCGTGAGAGCGGCAGAAGAGAATGGAGTAATTAGTAGGGCTGCTAGAGCCACGAATGGAAGTTGAACCATCTTGGCTCAAATGGGAGATTTGGAGTGTAATGTCGATACCGAAGGAGTGTTTATCGTAGTTGTCGAGTCAGCGAAAGATTATTAGTCGAATGAATGGTGTAACTATTAATTATCGAGAACCACGAAAAGAAAACGAATGACGATTCACCAATTAACGAGTGTCTGAATGAAACAAATGTCGAAATAGGAAAAACGAAAGAAAGACTCAGATAGCGAGTGCAGAGAGGAATGGTCCTGTCTGGAGCTAGCAGAATAAAGAAGACCGGGCAAAGCTTTTATGTTTCAAGCTTAAAAGGTTACCTCAATGAACCATGTAGCCACGATCTCAGCTGTGGCTATGTTTAGACCCAGAAACCCTGGCCGTATGGACGGAATTCTCGTTCCCTGCCCTGTCGATTCTCCCCTTTCTGGTGGAGCTACCGGTACCTGACACTAACCTAAGCAAAACTAAGCCAAACCAGGCTCTCGGACCCACGCCCAAGCGCCGCCAAGCAGTTTGTAGACGAAATACGAGGCCTGGAATACTACATCAGCGGTTATGTCCGTTTGTTCAGGGTCCTACACGCTGGGAGAAAAAGGGATGATGCCATTATTGCTGGATCAGCTATAGCCTTAAGACTCAGATTAGTTCCCGCTGAGGTTGCTCTGTGCGTGGGTATGCAGCTAAATCGACAGATACAGTTAAACATCCTAGACATTGAGGTGATATCCTTTTAGTATTATAGAGAAAGTGACTGATAAGCACGGTCGCGTTCTAACATGCTCAGCAAACACACAGACCTCAAGCTACCGATGGTTACCGTAGAGTCGTATATACAATTACGCACTTTGGTCTGTTTAATTTAAAAAGAGACCGTGCTTAAAAGCTTAATATGTTAGGTTTTCAGTCAGGTCGTGAACCTGTGCCAGTTTCTTTTATTGCTCTTGGTTTGACTACATCTTTGCTTTATCTTAAAACAAAAGAAGCTACTACTATAAAGATTTCCTTCCTAAAAATGCCATTTCTATTACATAAATTAAGAATCTACACTATTATAATAATAGCTCTATTGGTATTAAGAATATAATTTAATGCAGGCTTAATTTTTTATTGTATATTAAATTCTGGATTTTCTCCTCTCTTTTAACTTTAGGGTAATGCTCGGTTTGCGGGTCTGCCGGTTTTATCTGACTCGGCTTACGCAGGCCTAAATCTTCCGGGCCGCGGAGAATCTTCGCCGAATACCGAGGCCACCGACCATCGGAACTTTTATTTTGGGGCAGCCGAGCCTGTTTCCACTGCCAGTATCTCCATCACTCAACCCAAGTTCCCTGCACTCGCATCATGTCTTTGCGGCTTCTCAAGCGACCAATCAACCTTGCTTCGAGGGCTCCGATTTCTCAGCTTCGTTTACAATCTGGTCAGGCGCAAACGAGTCATGATCTTCCCTCGTTTCCCTCTCGGTGGTTCGCTGATCTACAAGCTCAGCTGAAGAAGTTCACCAGCGATGACTACCCATCCAGCTGCGTTGAAGAAGCCAAGAGACAATTGGTGTCAAATGAACAAAATTGGCTGCAACTCTTGGCGGGACAGCAAGGGTTCCTTACCGATAAGAAATGGCGAGGTCTCGATAACCACCAGCTCCTTTGGGGTGATATGGTAAGCTGTTCCTTATCAGTGATAAGTGCATGATTTCTGACAATTCTCGTCGTTTAGGATAGCATGGTAAGTGGATCTCCTTCGCTTCATTCTAGGACTAAATCTCATATTTTTAGGGTAAGTATCACGACTTCCTGCAACACTTGCAAGCTCTGATCACTCCGATGTATCACAGGCCATGTCAACAACGTGATGTATAACCGCTATGTCGAAACTGGACGCGTGCACTTCATCAGACAGCACAGTTTAGATGCAGCACAGCAACACAAGGCTCAATGGGATGATCTGGTGACACCGCGTAGCCTTGGCCTTATCCTCAAAAGCATCACAACGGAATACAAATTCGTATGGATCCCTGTCAGCTCCAGCATCACAAAGACTGACCAGTTACTTTTCTCTAGCCTCTTGAGTTCCCAGACCACATCACTGTATTGTATAAGCTGCTTGAAGCTCCAACCAACGAGTCAACGTCGCTCAAGATGGAAGCTTGGATTCTATCGGAACAATATCGCCGCTTGGCAGCACGATGTATCGACGACACTGCCATCTATGACTACACTACCGCAAAGAAGACGGTCCTGAAGCCGTTTATGGTCGAGAAGTTCCAGCAAACATTCAGCATGCAACAGGCAAACCAAAAGAAATATACCGATCAGGCAAAGCAGGCAATTGAGGCTGCCAAGGAGCTTCAGATAAAGTACACATAGTTATACGTTTCTTGTCGAAATCTTATAGACATTTCGTATACGCTCCATCTAGTTCATCGAACTCCTTACTTTAGGCCCTTCTTGTCCTTAACTTGCTGCGCCAAACGGTTCAAGTCTGCTGGCCATAGTGGGTCTTTTTCGATCCCATGAACAACCTGGTCAATCAGAGCAATAGCCAGATCATCCAAGACCACAGCCTCAGTGACTCCAATACCTAAAACTCGAGACATAGCTGCCAGACCAGTAACTAGAACACCGCCCTGGGCAGGGACAGATCCGGGTTTAGCTATCACCGCTTCTACCGCGCCATCGCTGGCTTCTGCAAATTCTATAACTTGGTTTTCTGCTGTGCCCTAGAATCCACGTATATTAGCAAGCAAACCAAACACATCGAGCATAAAGCTCAACAATTTCAGTCTGCATATCTTACCCGTATCCGTCTAAACTTGGGAGCAAACCACATAGTCTTGTTGATATCCCGCGGAACTGCCACCGCGCTGAGATACGCTACTCGAAACGGTCGTGCAAGGCCAGACGAGCGCATTGCTTCAAGACCGAGCATGGTATAATCCTGACAAACCTTGCGCACCTCTTCAGGGTCCATTCGAAATGCGTGAGAAGGTGTTACTCCTACTGTCCAGATACATGCTCCTGCGCCAGCAAAAGCTTCCTTTGCCGCGGGGGGGTATGTACCATAGTCCGGGACAATGACGTTCCGGAGTTTCGCGGCAGTTTGTTCGAGAGGTCGGCGGGTAACAGCGACAACGCTGGTGACGTCTGAGCGTGCAAGGGCTTGACGAAGGATCCCGGCGCCGATGTAGCCTGTAGCGCCAACAACGATAAGTTTCATTATAGCAGTTAACAGAAATACTTTGCGGGCATAAGACTCTGGATAAAATTTGATCTGGCTCTAGACTCAATAGCTAATTGAGTTGATGGTTCTTGGTTGTTTGGCTGAAATCCATTGCTGACATACATGATTTCAACGGTCAATTTTGTCCGCAAGTCAGCTGACCTATGCCTCGTAAGTATGATAAGCATCTAGGTCTTGCTGGGTAAAGAATGACGTCAAAAATAGATTTAGCAAATCCCCGCCAATTCTAAATGCTCCTCTGTCATATCATTCTCCCATTATCTCTGCTCTAATAATTTCGAGCTCTGACATCGCAACCACGGTACTTGCGAGAATTGTTTTGGCCTTGACCAGTATCTCTATTCAGTATCGAAATACCTACTTACAAGTTCCCTTCCCACAGGACCTTTAAGAAACACATCAAGTGAAGAATGCCCTCATCAAGCAAAACAACCTGACGAAGATGGCATGGCAGGATCTTACTATGCCCACAGTCGCAAGCCACGTTGTTGGGTAACTCAAGTATCTCGGTAAATATATAGCCCAATACCCGACAGATTCCTCTTACTGCATCGTCCTTAAAGACCCTGGACTTATCCTGGCTGCGCGACTCGAGGAACTGTCGAAGACGAACGCTCAGTTGAGACATGTCAAAGTCTGGAATTGGGCTTATGTCACGCTGAGTGAAGTGTCGATACGATACAATGTCTAGGCTGATAGGTTTGCTATCCTTTCCATACTCAGGGAATAACGTCTTGGCCATATCTGCCATGCTATCATCTCCAAGATGAGGAAGGATGAAATATTCGAGATAATTGAGGACTATCTCGTTTACGAGGTCGAATAGTGGCTGTTTTCATGGATTAATAAACCCATAGATAGTTGGTCCCGCGCCATTATGGGAGGAATGTTCCTTGCAATAGCTTCGCAAAGATTTAATATCTTATTATATTAGAATGTATTTACTTGAATTATATACCCACCTTTTGTCCTTCTAGAATGAATTATATCTAACTAGCTACTTAACTATTTAAGACACTTAAGCTTAAGTAAAGAGAGTTAAGACACTGCCTAAAATATAGTTACTAAAGAAAAGTTTTATATATAGTTTATTCTATATATAAAGAAAAGTCTTAATATAGAGATTTTTAAGATAATAAGTAAGTAAATTCAAAATATAACTTAATATTTAATAAGCAAGATAGAGGAAAAAACCGGAGTGCCCGGAGAAAATAAACCCCTACCTGCATATAAAGCAAGTAAGCCCACAAACACCTACCCCTGTTTACAGATTAGGGGTGACACCACTTTTGCCATTGGCAGCCTCCCCCAACGTAGTAACAATGTGGGCATTGTCGATTCCCACAATGGCTAACATATCCACAGAACTGGAAGCAGCGCGACCGTGCATCTTCCATATCCGGAGGCAGCCCATGGCACTCAGCTCTGGATTCGTGCGAGCCGTCGCCAAAAGATTCGTGCTGTGCAAGAAATTCCTTCGCCATTTCAGCATCCTGTTTGAAGTATGCATCAGCCTGTGGGCTAGGCTTGAACTCCGCAGACCGAACGATATTATCATTTGGGTACTCGTGGATATCGACTTTGATGACTTGATTCTCTTGGTACATATTGAGAATGTTATTACCAGCCACTGTCTTTATATATTCGTCATAGCGGTCAAGATCATCAATATGAATAGCATCTCGGGGAGTCAAAAGCGCCATCGTTGAATGAATGAAGATAGTAATGTAAAATGAAATTAAAAAAAGTAGCATAGTGCTTAATATTTATACGATGAGTTAGATTTAGAGTATTAACTTTCACTCTAAGGGGTTTCTTCCCTCTTATAGCTTTTAAAATTACTTTAAGTATATAATATACTTTACACTTAGCACTCGAATTCCTGCTTATCTTTCTAGACCCTCAATATTGCCGAGTTTGCCGTACAATCTGGAGATGTAGCAAATAATGTATTATTATTTATTAAGATAAGCAACTCAAGCTACGGATAGCTTTGCCGAAACACAATTATGGGGGGTCGTGAACCAACAGGTTCGTATTTACAAGCCAATCAGAAGCCACTAAGACAATCATAACAACCAACAGACTTTCTACAATAATGAATTATGTAATAGTTCAGGCTCTGGTATGTGCACTGCAGCAGTAATTGAAGGAACTTTTGTTTTGCTAGATGCAAGGATATCTATTCGCTTGGATTGTACGGCACAAGCTGCTCAGACGCTGGCTGCGGAAAAACACGTCAAGAGGAGAGCATTGGACCATGTCCATTCCCGAGGAAGTCAACCCCATCACGCAATTAACGCTGTAACCTCTCCAGGGGCGTCAAATGCTCTCGCAGTGTTCCCGAAATACCCGAGAAACTTGTCCTTGTGAACTCTGTGCATGCGGAGAAGAACAGAAATGATCTTACAGCGGTGCGCGAGCCATTGAATCCAAAGCGGCCAAACATATATTCTCCGTGGGGTATATACAACCAGATTCCATGCTCTGCACTGCCTCGTCGGCTTGGTCGTTGGCCCTGCCATCGCTGGACCATTTCTTGCGCAACGGAGCGATCAACGATCCCAAGAGAGTTGGAGTTTGCCAGCACATCATCATCGCCTTCTTCCTGGCCTTCACCAATCTCATCAAAGCAACGTTTGTCGTAGTAGCTCCAGTCATAGCGATTGACCACGAAAACTCCAGCCTGAGAAGTAGCGTCGTTGTTCACCGTACTTCCATGATCTGGTTCATAAGGTGAGCCAGATATGCGAAGAATCTTATCGACTTCCTGCCTGGGATCGATATCCTCGTGAGCCACGAACCATGCTGCTACATCACTTGTCTCGGAAGCAACAAGTTTGAAGACATTCCATATCCCGTTTTGTGCGGTAACGTTGTAGTTGATGCTGTGAGTTTGAACTGTGCCACTTGGTTGCGGCGGAGCAATCGGGAGGCCTTGAGAGGGAGCAGAGGAGCCGAACCAAATGTTGTGCAGGGACCCGAAACAGAGCTGACCCGAGACGACGGAGACAGTTGACTGTACTATAGGAGAGTCCGCCATAGTGATTATTCGAAGGCCCTCCCCATTTATGGGAAGTATTCGTGGAAACTGAGTATTAGAAGACTCTATTCGTGAATAGGCACCCAGGCAGAATAATAAGCCTTCTACCAGATAGACTGGTGCCTACCATGCTGTTATGATCCTAGCAGTTACGTCATGCACGCTCCACATCTTCCACCAATTATATAGGGAGATCTCATCTCGGACTCCACTCCTATCAGATTCCCAAAGCTACTTAAATTTTAACTCTTTTACTTATACCTATTTTATTATAAAAGCTTTTAGGTAGAAGCCTATATAAGTAAACTAAATATTTTATTCTCATTCATCACCCATGTTCACAGCCCAAAGCGTAACCTCACAGGCCCTCCTGCATCTGTGTTTCTCTTCTATAATCGCCTCAGCAGTCACATAACTTGTCGATCATGGCCCCGGCTGCGGTGCCACCGGTATAATCCCGAAAGACTGTAAATCCGAAACGTCGAATGTATGGGCCGGCATACAACTGTGCTCTTTGACCTTCTTTAACGAGTCAGTTTCCGAGCCGGCTGTGGACCTTATAAGGTATGTTTGCCCACATCCCGATGATCTACCATGGGGTTACGTATATCACAGCGAATTAGGAAAGACCTTTTACCAACCTCACGTTGCAACCATCACGCCTCTTTAAGCATAAGACATGTGAAATGGATCCTCCTGCCAAGTACGGCCATTTTCGCATTGCGGAACTTTTTTCACGTAACATTGCCAAGACGGACGGGATAAAGACGTGATTTACAATGGCGGGATAACGGTGTGATGCAACCCTGAGAACTGAAGAGTTGGACGTGATAGTCGGTCTTGAAAATGTATAAAAGGAACTAGTTTTCTGGCTTTGTTCTGCCAACATCTAACCTCATTCACTTGGCTCTATTTGTCTGTACTGTTAACATGCGTCTCTCTGCCTCAATTACTTTGGGTTTGGCTGCGTTGGCCGTGGCTCATCCCGGCGAAGACCACCACGATGAGCTCGAAGCACGCCGCTCCTTCGAGGCCAGTGCTGAGAGACTGTCTCTCCGTCACTGTGCTGAGAAGCTGAAGGCAAGAGGTGTCACTGAGCGTAACATCAAGCGTCGTTCTGCCTTGATTGAGGAGCATCGACGAAAGCGTAAGTAATTCTCAACACGTAGCTCATCTCTTTCTAATGTGGTTTGTCTCAGGTGGTATCAAGAAGCGCGATCTTGAGGACGTGCTCAACACGGACCACAACAAGACCGACCTTGGGTATACACCCAACACTCCAGCCGAGACCCTCTTCGCAGGTCAAAACTCGTGCGTTCTAACCCCCGAGGTCACTCTCGGTCCATACTGTGAGTATTGTTCAGCTATCGAAATGACATACGCTAACACTTCTAAGACGTCAGTGGCGAGTCTGTTCGGCGTGATCTGAAAGAGGACCAGGAGGGCGTTGATCTTATTCTCGACTACCAAATCATCGACGTAACCACCTGTGAGCCTGTGCCAGAGCTGTACCTTGAGATCTGGCACTGCAACGCGACTGGTGTCTACGGTGGCGTGAACAACCAGGGAAACGGAAACTTTGCCGATAAGGCCAATATCAACAAGACCTTCGGCCGGGGCATCCAGCCAACTGATGAAGATGGTGTCGCCCAGTTTGAGACCCTCTTCCCAGGCCACTATGTTGGCCGTACGACACACATCCACCTCCTGGCTCATGCAAACGCTACTCTGTACCAGAATAAGACACTTGGAAATGACATCTACAGCAGCCACATTGGTCAGACTTACTTTGATCAGGATCTGATCGATGAAGTCGAAGCCCTTGCTCCTTACAACACCAACACGCAGGCTCAGACTACCAACGCTGGTGACGGAATTCTAGCTCAGGCTGCCAACCAGGACTACGACCCGGTTGTCGAATGGACCCTTCTTGGTGACACTGTTGATGAGGGACTCTTCGGCTGGTTGGCTTATGGCATCAACATCACTACTACTGAAAAGGTTACCCCCGCAGTTTTCAGATATGAGGATGGCGGCCATACCAACCCTGACTTTGGAGGAGGCGGCCCTGGCGGCCCTGGAGGACCCCCGCCACCAGGCGCAAGTGAGGCAGAGGATATCACGAGCGATGCTGCCTAGACTTAAGCCATTGAGTGAGAACCCCTAGCTTCGATGGACAATGGCCGAAGGGCAACTAAGAAATTTGCTTCTCTTCTACTATATATCTTAGTACAGGTTGTGCCACAGTACCATAGGCATAATAGATCAACACAAGATATAAGATATATTTTACCAATTACACTCAAGTCTATCACAGATCTCCCAAGTGCATAGGATGCGGTTAAACTCAGGACACTATGCTATGTCAAGCAATATCTTCGTTCTCTTAATCCGGGTTACGGAGATTTCGGTATATATTTAAGATATGATGAGATGTTGGAGACCACTGTCTCTTGAGTGAATGTGCTGAAAAGAATTTAAACCTGCAATATCTTTCATGAGTCGGGATATCTTGTGCTTGCTAATTTTACTTAAGCTGGTGAACTACGCATGTAGAAGATGTCCCGGAACATAACCCTAACCGAGAATGTTTAACATACCCAAACTTGTGAGCTCTTGTACGTAGTAATCTCGTCCAATTCATCCCGTATCCTCTGAACCTCGCCATATCCTATACGTTCTTGCATCTTTCTCAAGACGTCCTTTACCAGGGTAATCTCTTCTAATGACCTAGCGCCGTAACCAAGTATCAATAATGGCCATGCTCCTAAATAACAACCGCTCCACTTTTGGTGTTCCTTGGGGCATTGAAGAATACTCATGGCCAAATCGAGTTGCCATCTCCATGGCTTCCCATCCCATTCTTCAGCCGAGGATGCCGGATAGATTGTGTCATGGGCTGACGCCAGGGTTTCGGTGATTAGATCAAGAAGGAGAGAAGTTGCAATTATCATGAGGTCATTGAAGCGTGAGTCTCCATGTTGAAGGCTCTCGCTGTTTTCGTCATCGAATAGCAACTGCTCCCAGTACTGCAGCTCGGCCTTCCAGCCCTGTAGGTGATGAGAAAGATTGCTTCGAGGGACATTTGACGAGTCGATTATCCGTAATATGAGTCGATACAGGGATGTAGGTACTCCGAGTATGATGCTTGGTTTTGCAGAGGATGGATTTGCGTTGTCGTATGAGCGGAGCAAATCTTCGGCATGAGTGAGGAAGTTTGTGTCAAGTCGGAAGTCGGGTCTGAAAGGCCTTCTGATAGAAAGCAAAAAGCCTTGATATAGGACACTTTCAATGTTGACCCTGTCGTAGCTTTGAATGGCTGTCCTCAATGAGCTGTTGTCTTGGTTCTTCAAGCTGAGCAGTTTCACAGCCCCGACAACGTGAGGCCTTGGGTCTGACATTACATCCAGACTCCAGAACTGGGCATTAATCACATTAGCCAATATCCCAATGATCATTCTCAATTACTGATCACGTACGTCGTATACGTATAGAAATGATGCTACTGTTGATAAACACGAATGCCGATAGGCGTCCGATGGACAGAAGTCCTCAAGTTCCTGATTCAGCCCTCTCATAGCGTCTGTATAGTATCGCAAGGCTATGAGGCGATAACGGTCATTGCTCATCAGGACGTGTTTGTTTGAAGCACAGTTGGCCAGTATAGCATATTTGACAGATCTGTTGTGTGTCATCATGTCCATCAGGTCTGACTGGCACTGAAAAAAATATGACTTGTCCTTTGTTGGGAGAGTAAGAGAGTTGAAGTGGATGTTGTAGAAGTGATGCGTCAATTCGAACTCGATTTCTGTTTCGAAGAGGGGATGGTGGGCAGTTGTAAGTGTTGTCCTGTTAGTCAGAATCGGGGCCGTGTCGTGTGAGGTCTCGTCAGTCTTTGGTGGGGACGGCCTGTCGCTGCTGGATAGTGAAGGAGCGGGAGACGCACGTCGTCGGCGATGCCTCCTATCGGCCATATCAGCGGGTTTGGGCCATGAACAGCTGCGGCCAAAGCGAGAGCAGTTGCGACATGATGGCTTCGCTTCGTCACATTTGACTCGGCGTTGTCTGCCTATCGTTGGTCAGTAGGCCTACTGATTCAAGTTCTTTGTACTGACATATGGCGCAGCCAGTTTTGGCACGCAGTTTGGCATCTGGCATGATCAGAAAGGCGGTGATATTCTCATAGGTGTCTGAGGCCAGAATGGCCATGCAATGAAAGCGGAGAGGTTACGGTACCAGGGCCATATCAGAAGTGGGGAAGTTGGGGTTTTAAGGCGTAGCAAGTGATAACAAGGCAGGCTTTAGCGCTAGGTCTTTTACAGTAGCCTTCTCCAGTGCTTGTCGCTAGTCTCTACGCTAGTGGGCTGTAATAGCTGATAAGAAGGACCTCACTACTGTAACGAGCCTCCTGTCCCCCCTTAATTGTATCGGGGCTTCCTGTCTAGAGATTTGAGGAGTTTTAACTAGTGTGTTTGATTAGAAAAGGAAAACTTCGAAATACAGCTACTAAGTTCTATCCAGAGGCTCAATGAGCCTACTTATCCTTGGACAATCTTTGACACCAACTCTACAGCAGCAACCGTGTCTTCATCGCGGAAGTGCTTCCCAACAATCTGCAACGCCAAGGGCGCTTCAGCGTACTCTTCAGGCGAATCTACTCGTTGTCAGCATTGGGTCAGCAACGCTGCCCGCAATATGACTTACACTTGTTGTACTCTCGTTCCTCTTCAGCTGATCGAGGTTTGAAGTCAGAGTATGGTGTATCTGTTGGCTCAACCTTCAACCCAGTCGGAAATGTGACAGCTGGCTGATCTAGAAGATTCCAGATGGCTGTATAAGGGATATAATGGCCATCGCCCAACTTTGCAGCAGGCCCGACGTAGGCAGGGCAGAGGATAAAATCAACACCTCGATCCTTCATGATCTTATGGTATCTAAAGAAGTCAGCTAAGCCAGTATGCAGCCCGATATATACATACTGCTCTCGAAAAGTGTCTCTTTTGACATTGAAAGCCCAGTTCTCCCGTATAGTAAGGGGCCGTGGTGGAGAAAAGTTGAAGATATAGTCCGACAGTGGCGCAACAGGCTCTCCTCCCCTTTCCAAGAGTTCCTTCTGGGTCACAGCACACTCAGGAAAGTACAGTCTTGAAACAATATCCATGCCCTCTTGATGTTTATATGGCTCAAAATCGACTACAGTGATGCCTGCAGTCTTGAGCTTCTCAACGGCGTATCTCAGTGCGCGAAGGACTGGAGGATGAGGTCGGACAAGCCTGCGACAACAGTTAGTTAGTAGACACGATAAGGAAAGGAGAACTCACCCATCCTCCCACATAACACCAATGGTAAAGCTACCAGGTTCCAGTGAACTGGCCTGCTTCCAAGCCTGAGGTACCAGCGATGTCTCAATTTCCCAGGGCTCCTGATCAAGAACTGCTTGTTGAAAGAGCCCAAGGTCTTCTGCAGTATTGGCCAAAGGCGAGATAACGCATCGGATGCTCTCTTGTCCAGCACCAGGGAGACACACGCCTTTGTACGGGTTGCGCAGTGCGGTAGTCCTCAGTCCATATGCGCCACAAAAGGCAGCGGGTACTCTCACAGAACCTCCAAGGTCGGTACCAATACCCAAAGCTGCGCAACGGAGTCCCAACGAAGCGCCTTCTCCTCCGCTCGAGCCGCCACATGTTAATTTTCGATTGTGCGGGTTCACAGCCGTGCCGTAGATTGGGTTGGAGCAGTCAATGTGCTAAATCGTCAGCGACATGTCATGAAAGAGGGAAGGCTGACTAACCATTACGCTTTGAGGTTCATTCGTTCGTACGTGGAATATTGCTCCAGCCTTCTTACAGCATTGAACAATCAAGGCGTCTTCTTCAGCAACGTTATCAATAAGAGCGACGTAAGCCGAATGAGCAATGCGTCCCTTATGTTCAATATGCTCCTTGGTCGAGATTGGGATACCGTGCAGGGGCCCCTTGATTTTGCCAGTTGCCTTGAAGTAGGCATCAAGTTCAGCAGCGGCTTCGAGTGCATCGGCGTTCATGAACTCGGTTGCAAAGTTGGTAAGTTGATGTGCGATATGAGCTCTCTTGAGAAAGGCCGTCACTGTTTCAACAGCCGTCAGAGAGCCAGAGGCCATTTGCTCTACCAGGTTCGTTGCGCTTGTAGCTGTTACTTCCAGCTCTCGTGCTGAGAGGAAGCCGCATGTTTCGATGGAAGTAGAAACATTGAGCTGGTCAGCGGGTGGAAGCTGACCAGGTGGTAAAAGCCAAGCTGGGTTGAGAGACTTTCGAAGGACTGCACGGCATTTTTCAGCTTGCATTTCCCAATCGGTCACGACAGAAATGTCTGTAGACTTTTGGGACTGATAGTGAGAGACAAGTCTCTGAGGAGGAGATTCAGCAACAGACGCCATGATGTATGAGGAAAGGTAATAGATGCAGTCTTATGGGGGATGATGATTAGATAGAGCTTGGCTTTAAACGCGTCTTTATATTCCATACCCTGAACCCGGATACCATTGCCGTGTCTATGGCACTCACTCCATCTCCTTCCGCCAATAGCTCAGGATAGGTATGTGCAAACAAGCGAAATGCCGTTGCCAGATCCCTTTACAAGATAACCTATCTCTCGGTAATCACAACTATTGGTGAGGCTCTCGCAAAAGCCAATGATTGGTCAAGACATGGTCTCATGCTTGAAGGTCAAAGGCTCGTTAAACTGAAAGATAAGCTAAAACTCGTAAATGTCAGTCATTGGCTGTTACCCCGCAGGCTGGGTCCAACCCCCGGATTAGATGCTATCGTGATCAACCGTGGAATGGGAACGAGCTGACGTTTAATGTGCGGTCTAGGCTTTACGGGCCAAAGGGAGATTGCGATCTAGATTAACAAAAGGCGCTATAGAAGATGTTATCATGTTCCGGCTGCTTGGTATCCCTTCATTGCATGTATATAATCCCTGGTCTGTTCGCCAGCAATAGAACTTCAGACCCATAGACCTCGTCCTCAATAAAAGATCGAACAATCTTATTCTTTTTATTATACTCTCTACTTCAACATGGGCTCAGATGACAACTCGCCACAACCCGTGTCGGACTTTGTTCCTGGAACGGTCCTCCTTGTTGACCTTGATGGCACCTTGGATACTCGCCATGCTCAAGGTCATCGGGACATCGTTCTTGTGCCAACACCGTCTGACGATCCAGATGATCCCTTGAACTGGAGCAGGTGGAGAAAGACTCTGCTCATGGCAACTCTATGCGTGTGAGTAGGGCTAGTAGACGACCTGGAAACCACTTACTGAATCCCGATTTGCAGATACTGCCTTGCTATCGGTATTGCTTCAGCAGCAATCTACTCCGTCCTTGTTCCAATCTCAGCTGCCACTGGCATTACTGTCAGTGATCTGAACTCTGGCACTGGATACATGTTCTTGACCTTTGGGTGGGGATGTCTGATCTGGCAGCCTCTGGCACAGAAGTTCGGTAAACGCCCTGTGTATCTTCTGTCCTTACTGGGAACAACTGTAAGTCTTGTACCTCCTTATAAGCTACGCCAGTATCTCATCGGCACCAGGGAATCATGATCTGGGCCCCGCATGCAACGACCAATGGCCAGTGGATCGCCAACAAGGTCCTCCAAGGAACCTTTGGTGCTCCGGTTGAGTCACTCTGCGAAATCTCCGTATCAGATGCTGTGAGTAGCCGACGCAACCGCCCTTCCTTACACAACCTCACTTACTCACTTATTCGTGCAGTATTTTGCCCACGAGCGAGGCACCTACATTGCTTACTACGCTTTGTTCCTCGGAGGCTCAAACTTTGTCGCGCCAGTCATTTCTGGCTTCATCAATGACGGGCAAGGCTGGGAATGGGTGCTGATAAGTGAAAAACAGTCCTCAAACTTCCTCGACTGACGCTTGAGCAGCATTGGTGTGCCATCTTCAACGCAATCGCTTTCGTCATCTGCCTGTTCTTCATGGAAGAGACAAAGTATAACCGCAAGGCCACTCCACTCCATCTCAACGACACTGTCGATATCAGCAAACCAGTCGAGTCTGCCAGCGATGCCAAGAAAGAACTAGAGTCACAGACTACATCAAATATCGATGTAGTCAACGGCACCGTTCTCCCCTCCTCTAAGACATTCCTCGACAAGATGAAGATCTTCCGAAGCGAGCATGTTCAAGGTAGCGTTCCTTTAAAGGGTATGCTAATTAGACCCTTCAAGTACTTCTCCTTGCCCATTGTCGTGTTTTGTGGCTTCATGTACGGTGCTGTTGTTTGCTACTTCAATGTCCTCAACGGTACAGCGTCGATCATTCTCTCAGCCCCTCCTTATTCATTCAAAGCAAGCTCTGTTGGTCTTTGCTATATCGCTACCGTCATTGGAGTCTTTATCGGGTAGGACTTGCCGGACTGTCACTCACATCATACATAAGCTAACCAGAAGCAGATCATTTTTCTCTGGCCCAATGGGAGATAAGCTCGTCCTGTACCTGACGCGCCGTAACAACGGCATACGCGAGCCGGAATACCGCCTCTGGCTTTATGCTGTTCTGGGCCTACTCGTACCAGGTGGATTACTACTCTGGGGCGTCGGAGCTGCTCATCAGATTCACTGGTCAGGGCTCTTGATCGCCATGGGAATATTGGGTGCCGCAATTACTGCAGGATGTCAGCTTCCTCTTAGCTACTGCATCGACTGCTACACCGAACTTGGCTCTGACGCCATTGTAACCATCATTCTGATTCGCAGCACCATGAGTTTTGCTATTGGCTATGGGTACGTGACACACTATCCTCCAAGCTTTCATCTACTGACTTCTTCAGTGTCACTCCTTGGGTTACAGGAATGGGCTATCAGAACGCTTTTCTTGTCGCTGCCTTTGTTGCAATGGCGCAGTTTTCTCTGGCTTTTGTGTTCATAAAGTATGGTAAGCAACTTCGACGAAGCAGTACTGCGAGCTATTTCAAGTACCTCGAGCAGGTCAAGAACGACGGTCTCATTCATTAGGTGGCATCCTTTACCTGTCTTCTTTGGTCGACTGCTGGTGTAGCTAAATCTTTCATACTTGTATTGAACTGTTCACTGTTTAAACTGCCAGATCGGTTATGCTATTCCTCTTCCAAGTCTCCACCGACTCTTCGGCGTTGGATCGCACACGATGTTTGATGCCTTCTGAAACATCAGTCTCCCAAATGGTGAAGTTGGTCGATGTGGCTTATAAGGACTTGGCCTTGTGAATGACAATTGCTGTATACTGTGATCGAGTCCAGTAGCCATGCTGACGAATGAACTCGGTCTCATATAGAAGGTCACGGGCCATTTTACCATGTTTCAATATTACAGGCTATAAATTGGAAGCATATTCCTTTGCAGCATTTCTCTTCTACATAAGTGGTAACTACCTCCCCTTAGTTCCGATACAGTATCTATCAATCCATACCGCAAATAACTAAGTCAATATCGCACTACCTATCCAAATTCAAGAACTTCGCTATGTGTGTAGAAATAACGTATCAAACCATCTGCCGTGTCTGTGAGATCCTTCTTACTCAGCAGTTTGAGAAGCACTGTTGTGCCCAGTCTCGAGGCTTCTATGGAAGATGTGGCCACGGTACGAGGAGGATTGACACAACCAAAACCCTGTGTTCTAAATGTAGAAATAAAAGCAAGAAGAAATAAGAGAGGATTGTTAATATGCGGAAGGGTATTAATTCTAGTTTTCGCCCCCTGAGAAGCTGGGAAATATCTTGCGATATATAGGAGCCTAGATAGGCTTAGTAAATCCAATTTACAGTCTTGATCATTATATAACTAGATGGCACGACTAGACTATGTCATTTAACATAAGGAACCTTTAGCATAAATCCAATGTGTAACGTAGCGAAGTGCGAGGCTGAGTAACTGACTTCATTCAGGCCATCAGTTCCTGTGTTTGTTTCACTGGTCTGTGTACCGTTGGTAAGACTGATTCAGTGGTTCATGGTGACAGACACCCTCAGTTGGTCAAGTTTCAGGTAATAAAATGCTCCAAGCTCTCAGGTCGAGAACAAGGAGACTGCATTGTTGACCGTGAACAACGCATCACTGGCCACAGAACCACTAATGTTCCTGTAATTATAAATAGCCGCGTTTCCGCTCTGCAATCTGGGAATCTCAACTCAATTAACTCTAAAAAGCTAAACAACAATCTCACACTATCTACAATATCACCTATTATCACAGGTCATCACAATGTGTGTGCAATGCAGAGAGCTGGTAATATGCACAGACTGCAAAGGTTTGACAATTACAAGGAACAACATAACCCCATGTGCGGCGTCAGGAGGCATAGTTGGGTCATGCAGAAAACCAATTCAGGTAATTGATACCGAGATGAAGAAGGAGTGTGAGAAGTGCAAGGAGAAGAGAAGGAAGAAGAATAAGAAGTGACCGACTTCTTGGTGTAGCTATGTATTTATTCTCTGCCATGACGAAGCCTTAGGCATGATGCAATAAAGTATAAAGAGGTGTCTCGCTATTCCCCCTTCACCATGCATGAAATGGGTCTCGCCTAGCCTTGATAATAAGCCCTTATTGGGAAAGTCAATTTCTAGTCTACTAAGCATACAAATACAAAGTTTACAATACTATCTTCTCCGAACCTCCAACTGGGTATATGGATCAGTCGCACTCAAAAAGCCAAACTGCATAGGCTTTCCAAAGCACCCATCCTTCAATCTAATGTCATACTTGAGTATTATGTGAGCCAGGCAAAGCTTCAACTCGCTGCCAGCAAAGAACCTTCCAGGGCACAGGTGCTTGCCCATACCGAACTGAGCATGCTCAGGGCTTGACTGCACGAACAGGCTTGTGTTGTCACCAGCTTGTCGACGATTATAAAAGCGCCAGGCATCAAACTCTTCGGGGTTCTCGAACTTGGAGGGATTGTACATCTCTCGAGAATCGATGGCGATGTGCGTACCTTTCTCGAGAAGAGTACCGTCGGGAAGCCGGGTGTCGCGGATGACCAATCTCTCCAATATCACTTAATGAGTTAGTATGTGCGAAATGCCACTGGGAAAAAACTTACCTAGTGAGGGGATTTGTCTCTGGGTTTCCTTTATGAAACTATCGAGTAACTGCATTTTGACGAGCGACGCAGCGGTAAAGTCGTGATCCGGTGCGGCGTCCTCGATCTCTCGTCTCAGATGCTTAGCAACCTCAGGGCGACGAGCGATCTCAATGAGAATTTGTCGAAAAAGCTCTGAAGTGGTAAATAGGGCGGCCATGGCCAGAGCAAGCTGAACATCCGCAGGCTCAAACTCATTTCCGAGCGGCGATTCAAGAGTCCAAGCGAGGGCATCGTAGTAAGTGGGAGCCTCCTCTCCGTTGAGCTTCGCCTGCTGTTCCTCTTGTCGTCTTTTCTGAACGACCTTGTTCACCATCTCACGCGCTCGCTTCAGACCAGCACGGCAAGCTGAGGCACCAGGAAGATACCAAACAACCAGCCATCTCAACCACGAGGGCCATAAATGCATTTCCCCAACAGCCCCAAAGTAATTCAAAACATAAGCCCTCGACACCTTTTGCCATTCTGGGTCAGCAGCGAGTTCCGGTCCGACAAAGATAGATGCAGCTGCACGAGAAATAACTCCAGTAGTTCCATCTTCCCAGTTCAGCGTCTTCCAAGTCTTGTCCTCTCCCCAAATGTCAGATAAACCGGTCTTGATATGTTCATTCATGATAGGCAGAGTCTTGTCAGTCTTGGACAGCTTTCCCTGGACCATGTTGATGACCATCCTATTCGGGTGATGCAAAACATGTTGAACGTCGAAACCGGGGTAGCTAGCAAAGTATTCGTCTCTGACGAGTTGCTGGTGGTCTAGGTCTTTGTTGTTCTTGGCCCAGCTGACGCAAGAAGGTGGCAGAATTGTCTTGATACCGTTTGGGACCAAGATGGCAAAGGGGTTCTCGCCATGCTTGGCAGCACCATCTTTGAGTAGCTTTTTGGCGTTGGTCTTGTACTCGTGGTTCGCCTGACGGTGGAAGAAGTCTTTGGGATATTTGTTGATGATTGGGAATTTCGGTTTCTTATTGGCGAAGATGATAGCCCCGACAAGGATGGCTATTACTGAGACACCGAGTCCCAACGGAGAAGAAAGAAAAGCCATTGAGTAGTATTAAAAGTATTGCAAAAAGTTGAATGAGAAGTATAACAGAAATATAAGGACTTTTCGTTCAATATTTAAGTCATTGACACATTTGCCCTGCACTGTTATAAAGGTCATTCCAGATGGACTCACCGTGGAACCTCAATGGTAGCGATTTTCGCATGAGTCCTCACCAGAAACGAATTTTCGCGCTCGGATATAATGACGATGTCATCTCGATTATGCTGACATTCTGATTGGTCCGGCGCTGTCTCGTTTCCGAAAAACAGTGGCGAGGCGTGTCACGGCTTGGAGTTAGCGTAGAGTACAGGCCCAGTTCTTTGACGGAAGAGGAAATTTATGGAAGTGAGTCATCTTGAATCATGGAGGCCCTGATTAGTGCTTGTCTTTAGTCTATGTCTGTTAAAAAAAAGACTTGCCTGACACTCTCATTTCGCAAGTTCGATTGGTTGCAGTAAATCATATTGGATCAGGCATTATGGTAACCCCGTTGTGTTATTTGCTTCTGCTACCTGTTTCTGAGAGCTTATTCCAGCACCGAGAACCTCGAACTTAGCAGTTTATGAAATAATACCCCCCTCCAGCAAAACCTCAGGCCTCCCCCACGACTTGTGAGATGAGATCGAACATCACCAGCTCATACAGTACAGTATGAGCATCTCCTTGGCCAAATGGCTGCCAATTCTGGCCTGCCAAAAACTCTGATATCACCTCTGTTCCGCGCATTCTCCAAAAGTCTCGCGCCATCGACAAAACCAGCCCAACTCCGCTATCCAGATATGGTGAGGGACAGCTCTCAGCCCCTGGGAACACCGTCTTGTAAATACACTCCCAGCGCCGTTCGTCGGATAGTTGAGGATTGTCTTTCTGGGAGAGTCTACTTCTCTGGTAGAAATTGATACCGTCTGGTATCTTGAGAGTCTCGGTTCTGCATCTTTTCTCCAGGATATGTCTGTCGCATTTCGACACGTTACCAAAAGTCTTTGAGCATCTGGGGCAGTAGGGCGGCTTAGCGTGGTGCCGCTTCACATGCCGTTTTACACTCTTAATTGAGTGGAGTTCGTGATCAATCAGACAAGCGAGATATTTCTTAGGATTTGAACCGTGAAAGGGACATCGGTACCTGGTGGGACCTCTTACTCGCGGTATAATAACAAAGGAATCTTCAATCGCGCGGCCCTTGTTATCGCAACTTATATTGACGTTCATTGGAAGCTCCCACCCGTTTTCATTCCGCCATTCATGTTGTGTTTGTTCGTGGTGAGATGGCTCGGTGTATGCTTGGGAGAGAAACTCATCAAGCTGTGCACGAGCTACTGGTAGTAAATGCTGTCTTGCAATTTGAATCCTGGGGTCATAAAGCAACGCGCTATTTTTCCATTCCGTAGACTTGTCCTCGCAACAAGATTCATCACCTGAGCTTTCACTGGCGCCGTCGTAGGTATTTTCTCTGTACCCAATGTCGCGATCCCGAGAGCCGTGTCGGTGGTGTTGGGGCCGAGATATTCTTGCTCCATTGGCATTGTGCGTGGAAGGCTGGGAAGGCCTTAGTGGGAGCGTTTGCAGTAATGCAGATCGTCGGGGGCGAAGGCGAAGAATGCCCATGACGACTATTAATGGATGCAGAGAGTGTGAACTAATGTGGAATGTTTGTGACAGCTGAGAATTTAATACACTGTGATTGGAAGATGAAATTCCTGTTAGGTGCTCGAAGTTCGTTACGATGTGGACGGTGTTTCGACTGTTCTTATACAGTAGAGCCTCATTCAATGACCCCCGCTTGAGCCGCATGGTTGCGACAAAATCTCACAGTTGTGTAGGTGGTAGAGCCGCAAGTTTTGAGCGGCGGCGAATGAA